CATCCTTAGGAAATACAACTATTAGTTCCTGTAGTTGCAGTTTTTTTTGTCTATGCGTCTTCCATATCATCATATTTTTCATAAAAGAAGAGAAGAAAATGTTCCTCTGTACTGCAAAAAATTATGTGATATTAGATGGACTAGAAATTACTACTTAAATCACCTGTCAGCAATTAAAGAAAATGTCTTTATTAATAACACAGATATTGGACGTAATAATGATGTAACTGTCACATCTGTGATTAATAAACCAGACAAAGTATTATCTAGTCATAAAAAATTTCGCACAGCCTCAATTTGTTGTACCAAATTAGCTGAAATTTTGTCCACGTGTTCCACTTTCCGTTTTAAGAGGAGAATGGAACAATTAAGCTACATTATAGATCAGGCGTGCCCAACCCGCGGCCCGCGAAAGTGTTCCAACCGGCCCGTGACCATTTTATAAAAAATTTTATCAAAAAAAGAAACCTTTTATTGGAAAATTAATTATACTTAATACTTAATTTAATATTTAGTTAATATTTTTAACTTAATTTAATAGTACGTTTTTTTATAAACTAATTCAATTATACAATTTTTTATACCTGCAAATTCGCAGATGACGGTGTAAAGCGACTAACGACGGCGCGATGGCACGGAAATAATTGACGAGAACCCAGTTTCAATAGCATTACATGTTACGATTAAACCTTTTTTTTTATAGTAAATCACTACATAGAGGCCGAACTGTTTTCACATTGCTTATGAAACATAATTATAACCCTTATGAAACATCGATAATTGAGTAAAATTAAATCATATACAATATATACAAATTTGAAAAGCTCTCGAGAGTCCGAGAACTACCTTCCTCAGCGGGTGCTGGTGTGTATGTGTAGAACATGGGCCCGAAAAAATAAGTACATACAACTTACATGGGGATACATGGGATATTTTCCGCATTATCCCCTTTACAAAACTAGAATTAATATTTAATATATATCTACAACGACGTAGTAGTATCTTCTTGGGCCGACCTAGGTTCATCACCCTAGACATCTCGTTCGGAGAGCCTATTCGCAGACCTCCCTAAGCCAGTCGTCCTAGACATCACAAACTGATTGCCTCTTTGCGGGACAGGCTCAGCCCGCCACCTTCGACACCCGTAGTGAAATACCACCGACCATTGGCTTCTGCGGCTTGCCACACCCTTTCTCCTTATTCCTTGGTGGTCAGGATATCCACAGCCATCTTATATAAGATTCTGAAGGTCTCCCTGCCTCCCTGAGGGCGACTTGCCTCTCCTGATGGTCCACCGGGAAGTCCTCGAAGACTGGCCCGCACAAGATGTTCAGGATGTCTTCGACTGCAGAAGAACGGACAAGGTGGGCACGAAGCTCTTCGCAGAGGCCGTCCCAGTTCGGACACCGGAACAAGGTGTGCTCCGAGGTGTTTAAACAGCACGGGCAGTGCATGCAGCCCTACCTATGTAGTGGAGGTAATGCTGAAAGTAACGGTGTCTGAAAAGGGCCTATGTCATCTGATATATCCAGAGTTAGCACCTGTGTATTATACCTATACCAGAGATGAGCAACTGGCGGGCAGCCTACTATTTTTATATGGCTACAATTTAAAATCACTTCATTACATTTTAGCGATTATCAGTTTCTAATTTTTCACGTTGATCGTAAAATGTAGATATAATATTTTTCTCTAGCATTGAACTCCAACTAAATAATTAAATATCTAAATATAATTTGTATCCATATCAGTATAGCTAACTTTTCTGTAGGTATTAGGCACTTATTATTTTATTTTATTGGTTCAATCATAAAACTAAATGTATTAAATACAGTGGCGTATTTTCAATTTTTTCTGGGGTGGGTCCACAGTTTATACATAATTAATATAAACTATATATTATATTGTAATAGTTACGTCCTTAGGCAGTTTTTGGAGGAAGTTGAACTAAATATATAATGTAATAATCGTATAGTCTTATGAAATATTATATACATGTACCTATATATTGTATTTAGCATTTTATATTATAAACTAATAATAATAAATTATAAACTAATAAAAAATATTATATTATAAATAACTAATTAATTCTCGTATTGACGACTTATCAACGCATTTAGACAAATTAAACTCGGCTCTATCTGAGTGTCAAAATAAAGCGCAGTGTCTCGAAGACAGAGTTAAAGCATTAGAATCCCAAAAATTAGTTTTGGACACCAACTCCATGGACTTTTCCTTGATTGTCAGGAATGAGGTTTTTGATTTCCAAAAGCGCTCTCTTAATGTTATCTTACATGGTATTAAGGAATCTACTGCAACGGTTGCTAAAGAGCGTATAACTCACGACAATAATAAAGTTAACGAGTTTTTTACCCTACTATCTATCAACTCGGATGTAATAGTTAACATTTTAAGATTGGGTCATCCATCTTCATCAAATCAAAGGCCAATTAAGTTGATTTTACGGAATCCCTATGATGCTGATAGAGTTTTAAAGTTCTTTATGAAAATAAAACGTGAATCTCCAACCGCTGTACATAATATCTCCCTCGTCAAAGACCGCACTCAAGCAAAACGCCGCCACATAAAGGAAGTATACGTGAATTTCAAGAGCAGATTCGAGGCAGGGGAAAAGGATATAAAAGTTTAATACTTCAATGGAATTCCTAAAATTATAAATATTAAAAAAAATTAAATGATAGGGTGAAGCCCTATAGTCATAGTTATATTAATAAGTTAAAATCAATGTTCAATAATCATAAATCAAATGAATTTTTTAATAAGCCTTCTGTTTGTATTAATTCTCATCTCTCTGGTTACTACCAAAATGTCCGTGGTCTAAGAACCAAATTAAATTTATTAAAATGTTCAATACCTTCATCTACTCATGATTTTATAATATTTACTGAGACTTAGTTAAATAACACTTTCTTTGACAATGAGTTAGGCTTCACCCAGCATAACGTATTTCGATGCGATAGAACTGAAACATCTAGTTTTCATAGTCGTGGTGGAGGAGTTATCGTCGCTATTAAAAAAACTTTTAATTCCACATTGTTAAATATTGATACTTTAAACGTAGAACAAGTCTTTGTTTAACATAGTCATAGTCGGTGACCTATTGATTATTTTTTGTGCTGTATACCTTCCACCAAATAGTGACATACAGTTATACTTAAATCACCTCTCAGTCATAGAGTCTATTGACTCTTCTTTTCCGAACTGTAAACTTATCATTTGCGGTGATTATAATATTCCTTCCCTATCCTGGGTAAATGACAAGTACGGGTTTAAGTGTGTCAACTTCCTTTCTTCCCAAGTAGGAAGTTATCTTATTGAGAGCTGCTCTTTATTAAATCTATATCAGTTAAATTCTATCATTAATGCTCATGGAAATATTCTGAATTTGGTGTTCTCTAATCTCCTTGAGAACTCCATAAATCTTCACGATGACCCGTTTGTCCCTATTGACCCTTGCCACCCTCCAATTCAAATAAATGTTCGATTACCTATCTTTCAGCCTATTCTTAAAAATGACAAAATAATTTTCAACTATGAGAAAAGTGATAATATTAATGCTAACCTATTTTTTAATTCTTTTAATTGGTTGAATACTTTTAGACACCTCAATACTGAGTCAGCTTCCCTTGTTTTCCAACACGCACTTTTAGAAGCTTTACACTCTTTTGTCCCTCAAAAAACCATAAGCAACTCCTTTGATTTCCCTCATTGGTTTAATAAAGGACTCAAAACTCTTGTTTGGAAGAAAAATAAAGCCCATTCAATTTATATAAAAAATAAAAGTAAATCAAATTATGAAAAATTCTCCTTGTTGCGAGCTCAATATAAATCACAGTCTAAAATTGTTTTTCATGATTTCATACACCGGTCAGAAAGTGATATTATAAGTAACCCGAAATATTTTTGGAGTTGGGTTAACTTTAATACCAAGTCTCATGGTATACCCAATTTTGTATTCTTAGGTAATACTACTGCTAATAACGGTGCTGCTATTGCTAATCTATTCTCAGACTATTTCTCCTCTGTATATAACACTTCACCCGTTCATCCACCTGATGAATCTAACATTTTCGCCTCAACTTATCAATTTGATCATATCATCCCCACTAAATACAGTATCTCTCTTAATGAGGTATCTGATGGTCTACGGTCACTTATAAAATGTAGGTCCCCCGGCCCTGATGGGGTTTCAGGTTACTTTTTGTCAAACTTAGCTAATTCCATACCTTATCCCATATTCATCTTATATAACAAATCACTTGAGGAAGGGGTATTTTCATCTATCTGGAAAAAAAGCTCTGTCACCCCAGTTTTCAAAAAAAGCAATAAATCTAATGTCAAAAATTATCGCCCTATCTTTGGTCTAGAACAAATTGGTAAATTATTAGAAAAATTGGTTTTAACTCATATGATTAAACCAATCAATAACATTTAAGACAATAGCCAGCACGGTTTAAGACCGGGGAGGTCAAATATTATATCATATATAAAAACGAAATGACTTGAATAATGGTTCGGCCATATTTGGTGAGCGAATGGACAGGTAATAAAAGAAGTTTTAGTCAACAAAATAAATAAAAAACTCTATTAGGAAGACCAAGGACCCGATGGGTGGACGTTATAGCTCAATATATCAAAAATATAGAAGAGTCATTTTGACGACGCACATGATAGAGAGAAATGGAATGGTTTTATGATGGCAGCGAAAACACTTAATGGGCCGATAAGCTGATGAAGAAAACGAATTGTAATTTTTAATGACCTTTTTTTAATTTTTGCTTTCTTTACTATGGCCCACTAGATTTTAAGCTTCTAAAAATTAGCGCTTTAGTTATTATGAGTTGCCCATCCTTAGCCTACACAACTTTACTGCATTTATTCAAAATGGTATGAATAATAAAATACAATTTAATAATATTATGTTAATAGTGCAAGTTAAACTCATTTTATTGATGGGGAATTTTGTTAAACGTGAATAATGATTCAACAACAGTAACCATAGAAACTTTTAAGCAATGAATCCAAATGATATGCCTAAGCCCTAAATGTTTATTCAAAGACAGTATAAAAAGAAAATACTTAATTGTAACTTAATATAGGTGTAAATAAGTTAATCATATATGCAATAAAAATATGGAATCATATTTAGATGAAGTAAACAATAACAATAGAAATATGGGTATAACAACATTATTGGTAGGTATACAGAAATTATTTCATAAAAAAAAATTAAATTTTAATAATCCAACAATGTAATTTGAAAATAAATTAAGATAATATATATGAATTAAAAAACTTATATTTCCTGTGTCTATCAAAGTAACTGAATTAAAGTTAAGCTAAATAGGTAATTTACAATTTGTATTAATCTAACTTAAGGATAATAATTAAAATCTTATATCTCAACTTATACTAACCTGCATAAAAAATTTAACACTAAATTAATGAATAGTATATTTAATTAATTACAATTAAAAGTTTAATAATTAATATGCATTAGTATTCATATAAATAACCTTCGAAAATTATATTTTATAGATTTATTCTTATTTTGTTATATCTAGTAGATACCTAACCTACTCAAACATAAAATTTAATTTTTAAATGTTATTTATAAGAATATGAATTCATATTAATTATTACATTTTTAATATAAGAAATATATTATAGCCATTTTATACTTTAAATAAAATTATAACTGTAATCTTCAAAAACTTTATTTTTACAAGATAATTGATTTTATAATAAACCGATAAGCTGTTACGTGGTCCATTATGAAGTTTACCAACTTTTATATTAAAAAATATAACAATCAGCAACTATTTTGTATATTATCAAACCAAGAACAGAAGTATTTTTTTAATATATATATACAATTTTTAACACAATATGTTAAATAATATGATGATATTTCATAACTATTCAATTTATTATTTAATTAAAATTTGTTTTTACCAAAATACTATTTAATTTATTTTGAAAATCATATTCAATATTTTTCATTTAAAAATGGTTTTACAAATGCAATAAATGTTACTAATTTTAAATATAAAATCTAAATATTAACTATAAATTACAATTTATAAGTAATTAATATATTCTATACTATCTTTTCAATTATAAGGAGGATACAGTCAAAAATAGAAATTTGGATCAAATCACTTCATTGAAATTACAGGCACCCATGTCAGTAAACCGTTTGTGTATGTTGGGTACATACGTACCAAATTTAGTAGAGCTTGATTTAACGGATAGTTTTCTTCCATCATTCAGGTAATTACAAATATTACAAGATAAACTGAAGAAATTTTATTTACAACACAATATTTCTATACAGAGATTTTGCGTTTAAACTTAATAATTTAAAAGTCCTAAAAGTAGCTTCCTGTAATCTTAAATCATTGGATGGAATTTGGAATATACCGAATGTAGAAGTGTTGTATGCCCCAGACAATGATATTAATGACTTAATGCTATGCTCTACACTGATTAAACTTGTTAATTTGGATCTATCTAAGTATAAATTATATTAGTTTGTCTATTTAAGATTTTAACTAAGCCAATTTTGTAGGAATAAAATAATGAATTTGACACGACTACATTTTTTAAATTTTTGTGAACATTTACGCTGTTTATCTTTAACTGGATGCCCAGTAGCAAAAATTGAAAATTTTGAGAAAAATATACGTGAAATTTTACCAAATCTGGAACAATTTAATGGAAATCAAACAGCAGGTGAGTAAAAAAATGTATTTAAATTATTTTAGTTATATTAACAATAACTAAGTATATTTATATTTTTAAATATTGGTGATTTGAATAAAAAGAAATTGAAAATGTAAAACCCAAACTAACCATCCAATCAATTGTATGTGGCAATATAACTGCTGCCTTGCGAAGTAAAAAAGCAAATCATAAAGGAAACAGGTAACTAGAAACATACAGAATATTTATAATTTATAAGTTATTACTAGAGCCTGAATTTATATGCATTTGCATATTTGTACTAAGTGTATGCACGTCTATGGAGGTTTGAAATGACAACGATTCATATCACACTGAATTTAAACACCAAATTTTATATTGCATTTTATATTATATTTTGCATATTTCAAGGGTTATTGCATATTTGTTCATAAATGCATATAACACCTATATTTAATGGGTTTTTAATAAATTATCTATTTAATTTACAGTAAATTCTGTAATCTCCTCGAATAGAGCACGAATTGAGATGATAGGTATTAAGTTTCAGAATATTATTTTAAAAGATTGGTATTTTTTTTAAGTTTTCTATTAGTTTTTTAACAGTAGGTAACTTCAAACGATCTAAAATATTTATTTTTAGTTTTTTTTTTTATTTATATTCTCGTATTTAAGTTTCCTAAAAGTTTTAGATTGATTTAAATTATTTGAAACATAAATCAGTGGATATTATAATTTTTTTTTGTTTTTAATAAAATAATTAGAATTTTATTTGGTATAAAAGTGTGGTTTTCAAAATAAAAAATCACATTTTATAAATTGTAACATAATGCATATAATTTTATATTTAGCCACTTTTTCTTTGCATATTTGTATCATATTTGACACTTTATAAATGTATATAAATCTGGGTTCTAGTTATTACTTATATAATAAATTTTAAATGAGAACTAGTAATTCTGAAGTCAACAGAGAAAAAGTCTTTAAAATTACATTAAAAATCTTTTCATAATACAAATATATCTTTACAGAAAACATAGTTTGGAGGCAGAAACAAACATTCTAAGTCAATAAAAAGAATATGAAATAGAATATAAAAAACTTCAAAAATATATTGTTAGTAAACATACCTACTTATGATTAAATAATATTTATATATTATAATTACTTATAAATAAATATATAAAATACAGTAATTATAACATATTCAGTCTTTTACTATCAATAGTTAGGCAAACTTACAATAATATAAATTAAATATTAAGTAATATTATCAATTTTATTAATACGATGATAAAAAAAAAAAAGCTTATTGAAATATTTTAATCAAAATTTTCCACACCTCCCGCATTATCATCTGAATCTTGTTGATCAAAATCAGTCATACGAACATCTTGATCTTCACCATACTGAATCATTGTATTAATAGTAAGTTGTAAATCAGCAATGCTGTTCTCATCTTTAATATTTAAAGGCACAAATTGTACAAGGCTATAATCTTCAATCAACTGGCCAATACATTTAGTTAAATACCGGTATTTTTTTCCCCAACTAGTATTATTTTTAACATCAGATAGCAATGCACGAGGATCTGGTTCTAAATAACTAAATTTTAACTTTTTATAACAAACAATTTAAATAATCAAACAAAAAGTATTTAAAAAAATGTTACCTATCCAAATGCTTTCTGGCTGATTTACTAAGTAAATCCATTTTTGATAGAACATTAATATGAGGCAATTCTAAATTTATCATAACCGATAATGCAGCCATTGTTCCTATAATTTATTAATATTAATTACATTTAAATGACATAAATATATAACCATGTGCATTGACACTAAATAAAAATAAATATTACCAGAGATAAACTTAGGCCCATCAACCATAAACTGAGAATCAACCAGCATAACTGAACATACATTGAATCCCCAATTTTGAAGTAATTCAGCCAATTGTTTTACAGTCTTCATATGAGTATACAATTCTATTTGTCCGGGTAAATCAAAAAGAATATAATCATCATCATCATCACCCAACTGTTCTTTAAGCCAATCTTGGTTTTCCATTAAATACCTGTGCAACAAATAATTTTTGTTAAAAATAAAATTTTTATTATGTAATAATTCACTTACTCCATGCAAAATACCAATCCTCCATTGGGCCCAAAATGCAAAATTTCATCTTCCATAGCATCATCAATATGAATTAATTCGCGTATGTCAATGGTTGGTGTATAATCAAAACGTTCAGCAGCTGGATCCAAATTAACTACCATCACTGAATTTCTTTCATTTTCAAAGTGTTGTGCTACAGCAGAACAATATGTGGACTAAACAAAATTTCAAAGGTTAAATTATAAATATTTAAAATAAAAATTGAATATTTATCAATGAAATACAGAATTTACCAATCTAATAATGTAGTAACTTATATTTGTAAGCAAATATGCAACTAATTGTATTTTAAACAATTAAATTACGAATAATAGTGAATAAATGACTGAACCAAGTTTGTTATGAACATATAATGATGGATAGACATGTATTAATAAAATAATAAATTAAAAGTAAGTTTATAGTTGATTATTAAAAATCTGTTAAATTAGTAAATCCAGTTAATTTTACAACAATACCTTTCCACAGCCAGCAGGTCCCATAACCATTTGAGCGTATCTCATTGTTTATTTACTTTTTTTTTTTTTTTGTATAACTCACGATTCAGCAAACCAACAAGGTATAATATAAAATTATAATTTAACTTCAAATGATACTTAACATGTAACAATATAAACGTGTGACTGAAAAACGTACAAGCATGATTTTAATATGTAATCGGTATCATAATTCCATGATAAAATAAATTAATTTTATCATGCATAATTCATTATATGAAATTGATAAGACCATGCCAATCACGAAATAGACATATATATATGACGGCATTGTTAATATTATTATAAAATCTAGATTTTTTTAATTCATACAGCTGCATTTATTATTGAAATAACCTTTCAAATAAAAGTGAATCTATAAAATATAAATAAATAGGTAGGTTAGGTTAGCTAAATCATTGAATTTTTTTTTAATTTAAAATAGTGGGCATTTACCATACTGGATTATTGTTTAACACAATATTTATATTCATATTTTATGGTAACACTAGTCATCCTAACCGCGAGTGGAGCGTCTAAACACAGGAATGCACCTTAAGCATTCTGCGCATGCGCGTAATTTATCCACCACTATCATAATGTTTGGCTGTTACATACAGTTACTCAATAGGCTGTTATCAATATATCATAACAAATCACTATAAAGGCCCCCATACACGGTCAATCTTGCATTACAATCAACGTGATTGACAGTCGAGACTAATCATTGACTGACGATTGATAACTTCCATACACAATCAATCAAGAATGACAATCTTTCAATTTTTTTTGTCAGTTCAAAAGTTGTGCTGTGTACATTAATTTATTTTTTTATATACCTATATTTATTTATAGATATTTTTATAAATATTTTTGAGTTTGTCAATTTATTAAAATGGATAAAGATGCACTTATTGGTATTACCATTTATCTCGCGTGTGATGATTCAAAGAAGCCCAAAAATAGAGAGAAAAGATTCTGGGTTAAAGAATGGTTGACGAAAAAAAACTCATTCTCTGATCATAATTTACGACAAACAAAACTCGACTGCTCCACACAATTCGACTAGATCGACTGATAAATTGTACATTCATAGACACACAACGTCAATCATGAATGTCAATCATCTTGACTGATGATAAAAATTCAAACATGTTTGAATTTCATCAGTCATAAAATTTGACTGTCAGTCATTATCAGTCATATATATATATATACGGTCAGTCATGAATGTCAATCATGTTGATTGTATTTCAAAACTGACCGTGTATGGGAGCCTTAATACCATAATATTATTATAATAATATGAGTTATGAATTCAACTATTCAAAATTTAACTACATACTTCCTATGTAAATAATATATTGTCATTTTATTTTAGTTGTTAAATAATAATGTTCAGTTTCGTTATAATTTTTTTTTGTAGTAGTATATTATTGAGATGTTTAGTTTCAACTCGAGTGTGATGTACTATGTATACATTATATTTTTTCATACGTATTTTATAGTTACTACGTAATTACAATTTACATTTATGTAAATATTACATTTACATTTACAACCACAAACAAATTAATAGAAGTAATATGATGAACCACGTGCAAATCGCTGTTTTCAGCAACCAAATGTATCCAACCATCCAGTTTATACGCTTCGCTTATATTTGTTACTATCATTTACTTTGTCTATGTTGATGTTAAATTAAAAAGTGTTAAATAAAATATCAGTAATACCGTAATAAGTATTTTTGATAAAGTTATTAATCTAACTCTAAAATCCTTACATCCTAATATTGTGCAACCATGTCGAACTCACAATTCGGTACACTACACTAGTTGGTTTTAATATTTCATAGTTGTACTTACTATTAACTTAATATTACTTACTATTAACTTATTATTACTAGCTGAATTACCCGTCGTTGCCGGGTTTAAGTATATAAATGTATGTAACCTACCAAGATTAAATTTTGTTAAATCTATTGAAATTTAAATTAATTAAGATTTTTGAAATAATATTTTATACATATTAATTTAGTTTTTAAGATAATGATTATTATCATAACCTATTCGATAAGTTATAGCTTATGTTGAACCTCCTTAAGGAGTCATTATTTATTTTAAGTTTTAATCTAATGTGAGCTTTGTCTTAATGATAATTGAGGAACTTCTATTAATAAATTGTACTCAAATTGAACTACATACTATAGGTTACAGGGATTATTCTAAGGATTTTTATCAACTACGCATTTTGTTTAAATAAGCCTATCAAAATAGAACTATGGTCTCAAAATATACTGTCAAATTGTAGTTGAAAATTATAAAATGTGTAGCTTCTATGTGAAGTAATTTAAAATGTAATGTATTTAAAAGATATAAAACAATTTACATTTGTGTTCAAAGTATTTTTTCAATATTTTTTAATAAATTTCTTTTTTACTTTGTTTATAAATCATAATGTAATGTATAAAATAACACTAAACAACATTGAATTAAAAATCAATTACGCATATGTTTATTATCAAGTGCGCATCTACCTTTTCTAAATACGCAAAATAAGTCCAACTGCATTTTAGAATAAACTCTATTAGGTTATTATTATATGATAACTTTTTGAACTTTTTCAAGCAGACTGCATGGGCAATGCCCATTGGGCATATCATAAACCTAAACGTCTTGCTGCCTTCGTCAGCCTGACCAATTCGATATGCTAACTGGTCAGTGAAAACTGTTAAAAACAAGAACCTACTTCATCAGTAAAAATATATTAAGTAAATTTTTTACTATAGGATTTGTCTAACAGGTTTAGCGAATTCATGAGGGTAGCTAAGAATTTCCAAGTAAGGTGTTATGAAAAAGACAGCCTTAATCGAAAAATGTACCATATTTGTCTACAATAATATTTATATTTTAAAAACTGATTTATGTTTGATTATTACATTCATCTTAATCGATGACGTGTAATACTTATTTCACGTATTGCATCTTCTATTGACATTAATATATCACGATGTATATTCATAACTGTCAAATCAGATAGACGATTTTTACCATTAGTAGGTAGGTAAATACTTCGTAAATATGATTTCAAACATCGAAGTGTTTAAAAGGATGTCGAAACGAAAACGAAGTCGCTGGGTGCAGATGTGACCGGCAAAGTATCTAATATAATTAAAAATAATGGTTGTAATTATGTAAATAGTTGGGAATACCTATATCTTCATTGCAATTATTTAATGCTTCTATTGTGTTGGATCTTTCCTTTTTTTATTTGTTAATACTATATTATGAATTCACTCATTGGAGTTATTTCATATACATCAATATCTGATTGATATGTTTATAGAAGATCTTTAAATTTAATTTTGTTAAATTTGTTGAAGTTAGACATAATTCCTTATTGTTTTTGTAGATTATTTTTATTATACTTTAATAATGTATAGTATACAGTGTATACTATATAGTAGTAGACTTGTCTATGGCTATTAGCGTCAACTGTCATGGCGTTGCATTATGTTATAGTTTTTAGATATTTTGCAAGTGTAATTTTCTTTGTAATAAATAATTATGTTTTCTTTTTATAATGAATTAATATCTTTAATTAATCAATAAAATTCACTTGGATTTATTAAACCTCGTACATATACGCAACTAGAGGGGGCGTTATAGTGTTTTTAGCACTCCTGAGTTCAAATGTAGCACTCCTGTTTTTTTTTCAGATGTATATAATCTATAGTAATTACAGTTAACTATATTTGGTATACCATTTAACTTTATTTTCAGCATTTTCAGTACCCCCAATATTTGGAGTCTGTTTGAAGACTAGCTGAACACTCTAACCTAACCTATGGCCTCGTACCATATTATAGGCCATCAAAAGGTCAAATGCTAAAAAATGTACAATGATAAGGGGTCTTAAGATTTTGACTTGCACATGGATCTCGAGTAGTTCAGTTACGGTACTGTTAGTAACAATCTATGATTCATCAATCTTTCATTAAAATTATTAATGAAAAGAATCAAACATGGTATGTGGTGGAAAATAATTTTCCAAAATTTGGGATCAATTACCAAAAATAGGACAAAAACAATAAACAGGTATATTTGAAAAAATTTGAAACGTTCAAATTTAAATTAATCTTCACTTCTACACTTATTAGGGTGCATCAAAGTGTAAAAAGAGCAGTTGCTCCAGTTGGCAAAACATTGAAAGGCAACAAAAAAATCAATAATACCTATTGTTTTAATTATAATAAAATAATATTGAGTTAAATAAATATTATGTAGTTTTTACACTACCTAGTCAGAAACTCATAATATCAAAATTATATAAATACATACCTACCTAACATTGAAATTTTAATTAAAAATTAATTTGGTGTAAGAAAAACGGTATAAAATTAAAATAACTGGTTGTCAATCTACATATTTCATACTTTAATGTTACTGAAAAAGGGGAAGTAAATTGATGTTTACTTCCATACTATACATTGTCCCTAAATATGGATTATGCTGCCAAGTGTCTATAGACCATTTATATTATTCAAGTACAAAGAAACACCATTGTTCAAATAGTGAAGTATGTTTGGCTTTTCGAATTTTGATTAAAATATGCAGTAGTACTGAATAACATTTACATTTTAAAATTCTTGAATTTTGTTTTGATAAATTATAATGTATAGTTATATTATAATAATAGTATATACAGAGAAATACATTAGTATGATATGTACATAATTTAATTTGTGATTTAATCTGCCATTTTTAATTATAATATTCAAATAAAACCCGTTAAAAGTCAAGTTTATCTCCAAATTTATAAAAAATTGAAATGTTAATAATTATTTAAAATTCATATGTACTATAATAATAATTATCTCAACAAATAATTATATTTATAAAGTATTTAAAAAACTATAAACATATAATTTACTAGCTGAATTACCCGTCTTTGCCGGGTTTAAGTATATAAATGTATGTAACCTGCCAAGATTAAATTTTGTTAAATCTATTGAAATTTAATTAATTAAGATTTTTGATATAATATTTGAAATAATATTTTATCCATATTAATTTAGTTTTTAAGATAATGATTATTATCATAACCTATTCGATAAGTTATAACTTACAACTACCTGAACCTCTCTATAGTTTGGTATTCTGTTGAATACATATAGCATCTCACTTCTCCGAATATTTTACCTTTTGTCAATAAGTTCATGGACTTGCAATTATATCATGTCGATCATATGATCTTTGACCGGGAAGTAAGAGCTCTTTTATCTCGTCCCAGCGAGGATTACATGTAAAAGTAATAAAAAGGTCAGGACGACCGTAATGTCTAACGTAGGTCATAGCATCTTGTGTTCTTTCGTGCATGTACCTTGGCCCACCAGTAAAAGTTGACGGGAGTATAACCATTTGGCCTAACTGATTAGATTCTATGTCTCGTCGTCCAATCGCATATTTTAAATGAATATAACTATCTGCACGCAATTTGACTTGGTTGTTTTTGATGTAATTTAGTCTTTCAGTTTCAATTTTGGCGTATTTATCTACCAAAGATTGACTGAAAAGAGAACGATAATTAATTAAATAGTTGTCTTCCCCTTCTCTGACCATTATTCTATATGAGTAAAAACTTGATGCAGAGACAGTTTTTTTTAAGCGGTAACTTGGTTTTTGGATCGCGTTGTGGTATACTGATTGCATACCCATCATCCCCACAACAAAACATTAAAGGATACTGCAGTGTGTCGTATGCTCGATGTATCTCACTGATACGGTGAAGTGAGTTACTTCGGTTTTCGAGGATGATGTCTCTTCGATCAAACTTCTTCTGGTGGTTTTTTTTCTGCATGTATAACAACTTTAAATGACTCTGAAGGAGGTATTTTATGGATGGTAAATTGTAATGATCAATTGTAAATTATGCGGTGGCATGCCTAGTAAATCCAATGAGTTTAAAAACTGTGTTGGATAATTTACAACTTCAGTAGCATCGCAAACTGTATCTAGATTTGTATGACACCAAGTTTTCTGGTAACAAATTTTGTATCTTGAGATTCAATTCGTTGACCTCCACATTTTTTGCTACTAAAATTGCTCTTTCTGCCAGCCACTCATGATTTGTGTATTGTCTGTGTACACTGGGACATATCTGGTCAATGAGAGCATCTTGCGAATAAATGATTGTGCAGAAATCGTTCGGTAATTTATACATCCCGTTTCATCTGTAGTAACTTTCCCATCTCCAATATCTAACAATTGTTTTGAGAATCTTTTGCACGCAGCTTTTTTTGATTGAATCGAAATCGTTCGCTATCTATCTTTATATATATTTCGACCATGAATTGTTGACAAAGCTTATGCATCGTAAAATAACTTAGTCCTGATCGCGTCTAATCATCAACCGATATGCATAATAATTTTTTGAACTAACATTCTTATTTGTTTCATCTTTTTGTTTAATGTTTAAACTTTTTAATTATTATTATAATACGGGAAATTTATTTTTCTAAGGCTGCCACAACCAATCTCCCGAAATTCAATTTTGGTGATAGCTCGTTGTTATCAAAATCGGGAGAACTGTACCAGCCCCACCACGAGGCGCGAATTCCGTTTTATGTTGTCAGTTGTTATTTGTTATCAAATTAATAATTAAGTTTTCGAAGTTTATATTTAAACTCTTCGGTAGTTCAATACTTCGATTTAATTTATTATAATTACAATTCCATATTTTACAAGTCTGAAACATGTCTATGTTTAATTTAAGTGGTAATCAACCCAACAACACTGGAAATTCTGCGACGTAAGTAAATCCAAAATTTAACAATTCGTTTAATTCTACCTATATAACTCTTAATATTATGTATATACTATTATTTTAGTCGGACTTTTCGGAAAATTTAATTTATAAAATATTATGAGAATAAAAATCATACAGCAATTGTATTTTGGTTTTTTTTTTTTTTTTTTATTATTATTTGAAGTACCTATATTTTAGTCATATATGAAAATCTTGTTAAATAACCAACTTTCTACATAATTATAAAACTAATTTAAATAGTCCTCAATTTGGCTTTGGATCATCTATGGGAAGTTGGACAGCACCATCATCAGTATCAACAACTACTTCTAATTTTGGTACCTTAGGTGCCACCAGTATTAAGCCAAATACCAATACCCCATTTTCTTCATTTGGTAATTTAGGGGCTTCTACAACATCTTTATCATTTGGAACTGCAACTACCTTAGCTACAACCACTGCCAAACCAGGTAATTGTTAATTTCTTAATTTATATTTATTCTTATTTTTTATGTTTGATATTTTTTAATAGAAAATATATTTTAATGATTATACCATATTTATTTAGGTTTTTCACTTGGTAGTAATGCTACAGCAAATGCTCCATTAAATCTTTCTTTTGGTGCCTCTACATCTACAGCTGGTACATCTCCATTTTCACTTGGAACTGCATTAAATACTAAAACTACTACATCTACCACTGGAATACAATTAACATTAGGAAATACTGTTAATGTAACTACTTCAGCTGCTACTGGTTCGTTAAATTTGAATTATAATAAAAATATATAAATATAAAATAATTTTCCTTCTTTTAGTATATCTAATACAGAAAGTAATCATCCAGAAACCTTCAAATGTTTGGTAGCATGCATATATCATATATAATTTTTTTAAACTTCCATTTCTGAAATATTCTTATGCACGATTTATGCATAGTGAATTGTAAAGTAAATTTATTTAACATATTGTACTAAACATAAAAAAAAAAGTTTAAAATTAATCTGTCCAAATTTAGCCCATATTCTAAATCTTAGGCTGATATTAATGATAGATACTCCTCATGAATATCAAGTACAGTAAAACCTTGACTATATGGGGTAAAAGTAGAAATTACACTGATATATGAAAACCATGGTTAATCGAGATTTTTTTAACACATTTTAATTTTAATTGTTTATCATTATATTTTATTTGACTATATTATATAAATATATATTATTATGTTTTTAAATTATCACGGATTGACATTTTAAGTAATCTTTGTTTTTTGCAGTTTGAAATTATTTTTCTTACTTCACTTCTAATTTTTTTTTTAATACATGTTGTCAACACAAAATCAACATTTTCCTTCTCACTGAAATTCAAGATGATATCAACTACTTCCTTAAGTCTATTTATAACATAGCCCATTTATTGTTTTATTAAATAAATATTATTTAATACTGCTTATTATTGTGTCTATTTCTTTACTTTTGGTACATATACATTTTGCAAGAATGAGCATGGTTAATTGAGACAATATTATTCGAGGTTGTACTGTATTAGTTTTTGCTGACAGTAAAAATATTTTTTTTTCTTTTTGGTATTTAGCTCTTAAAGTTGGGTTTTTCAAGCCTAGTTATTTATAATGTTTTACTTGTTCAAGCAGCTTGTTCCCTGTTTGGATATTTATTTTACAGATTCCTTCTTCTTTTTGGTACATCATAACTTAAGTTTTTTGCTAGTTGATAATCAACTATGATATTTTTGGAAGCATCTCATAATTTCTTCCAGTATTTTTTCCAAATCATACTCATTATTTTTTAGTAGTGCAAATCATTAGCAAATCTTAAGAAGGATATTATTTATCCTTGGAATTTTTATACTTTCTTCTCATTTTTGTTCACTAATTGACGACCCCACTTTTTATTTATAATTTATTCTACACCAGCCCTTCCCGGTTTTTTATCACCAGAATAGATAACATGGTAGTCATCTGCCCAGAAATCACTGTTTCTGACAATTTCCTGATCATCTAACATGGCTCACCCCTAGTATGTTTATGTCTAATCTCTTCATTTCTAGTTCAATATTCTTTAATTTGCTAGTATTTAGTATAGACCTAATTTTCCATGTCCCAATATTTTTCAATAGATTTCGCTTACTGACAACCTGAGAAGCCATGAAACTTCCCTTGCCGGCTCTGACATTTTCAAGTATATCTGTTGCTGTTACTTTTAAACCTTCTTCTACTTGATCGATATTGCTTTACAAAGAATTATAATGAGGTAGGTTCCCTCTCCTTCCACATCGCTGTTGATAAGCCAGTACTTGAAATAACTTCAAGCTGACATCATCAATTCCTTCCATTGCCATTAGTTCCAATTGTGGTCTTTTTCTTGGGATAAGCATTTCATAAATGTCTGTATATTTGTTGGACAATATTTCGGGATATGGCCGTGTCTTTGATAGATGTAGTATCTGGATACTTAATCATATGGCTGTAAAATCTGCAGTATGGTATTCCAATAAGGAATTGTTTATTCACTATTATTTTATAAATTGCCGGATCCACTTCTATTAACCAAGATACCACTCTTGACGATAATTATCCTAAAGGTGATCTTGTAGTGAGGGCGTTGTATTAGTCATTAGAGGTATCTCTGAGTTTTAAATTTCTATGTAGGAGATCATAAATTAATTCTTTTGCAGTATGTTTGTTGTCGACATTGTAAATTAATACCTTTGATTATATTGTTGTCATAGTTTATATTTGAATCCGCTGGTTTTATACAAATGTTTCTTATTTTTTTTAATGGTATTTCTTATCAGTATCTTGGGTGTTGGATTTCTTTTTAGTGTATCTGCATAGGAAGTCTTGCTCTCAGGGTTTTTTATTATAAATCCTGGTTCTATTTGTTTGCTTTTGGCTCTTTCTATGAATTTTTTAGAACGAGGTCTATTATTTCTCTTATTTATTACTTTGGTAAATTGCTCTTTTTCTCCATCGGTATTTAGCCTTTTTCTCTCTCTCTTTTAGTCTAGACGATATTGGTAGAAGTATTTTCTTATTAATATTTTTCTTTGGTTGATTTTGTAAAGCATTTTTAATGTCTCTTTTATAATTATCTTGAATAATAGAGAATAATTTATTTATTTATTTAAGAGTTTATCTTATATTGATTTATCTACTTTCGGAATTTGGAGTAATATTTTGTGGATCTCTTCCAATTGTTTAATGCAGTGCTTCTCAACCTTTTTCAAACTGCCCTCCTCCAAGAAGCAAAATGTATTTCAATGCTCCCCCCATCACTTCATTAAAATTAAAATTAAAATAGTATACATGAAATGTTTATAATTGAATAATAAATAATATATGTATGTATATATATATATATAATTGTAAAATTTATGTTTTAATATAATTTTAAAGGATAATTTAAATGTTTCGAAATGTATTGATCAGTGAGATGGTTGTGCTTGGTGATTCAAAACCAATTTTTTTACGTTTGATTCAAAGTTTGTGAGATGAAGGTGTAAATCTCCTCTTATAACCAATATCGAGTCGATTTATTTTTTTTCGATATTAGATAATAACGCACTGCCTCTGGTATATGTAGTTTATATTTCATAATCACAAATTTATTTTAGAAATCGATAAACGGTAAACAATTACAGATAAATCTTAGTGCATTGCTTTGAACAGAAAAAAATTTCACTGCCCCCTTATCGCCCAAAACGAGCTCACCGCCTACTGGGGGGCAATATCGCCTCTGTTGAGAAGCACTGGTTTAATGGAATCTTCTAGTTATTTTATTGGATCATAATTATTCTGTTCTCCTTCCGAAGTTGTTAATTCTCTTTGTATCTTTAATAAAAGTGTTAATAAGAAATAAAGTAAAATCAGTTATCAATTTAGATTTATTTCATTATTTACTATACAAATAAATAAACAGATATTGAATTTCTTCAAATAACTCCTTAAATAGATATCATTCATTATAAATAGTTTAATTAATGTAAATTAATTATATTTTTCAGTTTCTCGTGGTCTTGGTGGTCTAGATACAACTTCAAATTTAAACCAAAGTACAGTTTCAATATAAACATTTTTTAACTTAATTTTAAATAATGTATGCTTATTTCATGATGGTTTATTTTATGTATATTAGCTCAAAATAAAGTTGTGCCAGCACTCGAAATGTCCTTGCCTAATGAAATTTCACAATTAGTTAATCATTTAAAGTAAGTATTTAATCCATAAACATCAATATTGAACTTATAAAAAATATTTTCTATCCCTTAAATTTAAAGTTGTATGTAACTGAATTTATTTATTTAAATAATTTATATTGTAAATTTAAAATGTATTAAAATGTTATGTATAATAATTTTATTTCAGAGATTTTCTTAAGCAACAGAAAACTATGAGCACTGAATTGGCTCGTATGTCCTCCAAAGGTTCGAATGAAGTTGCTGGTGATATTACTACATGCCAAAAAAATTTACAGTTTATTGAACACAATTTAAATAAACAAAAAGTTTCAGTTGAGAAGTTAAAATATGAAACTAATAAAGTAATACTTTTTATATGATAGTTATTTATTAAAATCATTACTTTTTAAGCTATTAATATAATTTATATTTTTACTTAGTGTTTACAAGACTTTGAAATTGCACAACGTAATCATGATCATCCAGCAATGGTTCAAAATGATATGGAATCTAATATCAAGTACTTTACTGAGCTTGTAAAATCCTTACAAGAAAAGGGAAATGTATTGAAAAATGAAATTGAAAATACTCAACAATATTTAGCAACATTACCTTATAATAACAATGTTACTGTGGATGGTATTTTATTATTAGAATTATGTATATGTATTTTATTTTGTTTCTATATGGATTTTGTTTTTTTAGAACTTAGAAGAATTGGAGAAATGTATTATAAAAATGTAATAGCATTAGCTGGTTATTTGCACGGTATACACAATGAAGTTCAGGTATTAAAAGCAAGACATTTGTCATTTAGAAGAGAGATATTAAATGATCATACAAATATTTTCCAAATAAATCAGAATTCAAATTCCTCTAGATTTTTCACATCTTGTCCAGATACTACTGGACCTAATCCCTTTTCAGGATTAAGTAAGCTTCAAGTACAAAATATATAATTTAAAATTGGTTTCTTGTATCTATTTGAATAATATAATTATATTTTATTAGATATAACTGCTTCAGCTGCACTAAACTTAGGAACATTTGGATTAGATCATTCTAGTGTTCATCAAATTCAAGGTATGTATGAAAAAATTCATTACAAATATTCAAATGAATATAGTTTTTATTAAACATTATTTCATAATTTTAAGTTCACATTACTTATAATTATTTTATTGTTCACTTAATAACTTTAACCAGATGATTTTATACTGAATACATTGCTGTAACTAGACTACTTGAGACCTGTGTGCAAATCAAAATCTTGATGCCTTTTATCATACATTTTTTAATAGCAACTGCAAATTAATTTTTATAGTGGAGAAGGATTTTTTAAATTTAAAAGTCTTAATAAAATTTGATACTAAATACCTGAATCAATATGATAGTTTATCATTGAAATAAATAGTTTACTCTAAATCATTATACCAAAGGAATATTAAAAAATGTAACATAGTTATTTTCTACCTTATATTACATATATACAGTATGTAAATTAATTGGAAAATCAATAGTTATTACTCCTAATATAATACAGATATTGAAGTTCCGTTTTTTTAACCTAATATGTGACTTATAGTCAGGACTGGCACTACAAATTGCGGGGCCCCATGCAAAATTGTTGAAATAAAATAATACACAACAATTAATATTTAATATATACTCTTTATTTTTTAGTTATATATATAAAATAAATGTATACAATAAAATAATATATTATATTATTTATTATTGATTATATATTTTAGAACGATTTTTTTTTTTTGACTTTTCGCTAGGATCTATAGTTTAAAATATTATATTTTTATTAATAATGTAATATTTTCTAAATTATAATATTTATTCAGTAATGATTTGTTTTCCGCGGGGTCCTGTGCAGGTGCACCGATTGCACTGCCGTTGAGCCGGCCCTGCTTATAGTCCATCTTTTACCACGGTTAAAAAAATCCAAAATTCAAAAAAATTTTAGAATATTTATAATCATTAAAAATATGTTATACAAAATAAAATAAATAAATAAATATTAAATTTTTTTTAAAACAACTAGTACACATTATTTTTATAATATATTGATATTTTCATACTAGTTATTGGACCTGTTAAGGCCCATTTCCTGTGTGCAAGACACACTCTGTACACCAGGTTTTTACAGCATTGACTAAATATTTAATTCCTTTATATGTTTTTGCTTTTCTATTCCTCAAAAAACTCTAAATCATATTTGCTATACTTCATTTATAGGATAAAAGAAATAATCTATTATTTGTATGGGATCCATATATATTAGTATAAAAATTCTAATGCATAAAATGAATATGTTTAAGCTTTTATGCATTAGTAATATTTTATAAATATTATTAAATCAAACCAATATAATTGTTTACAACTTTTACTTAAAACCAATGTAAAATTTATAAATATTTAAATACATTTTGTTTAATTTTCCCATAAGCTGGAATTTATATTATCACTATTAACTGAAAAATTATCATACATTTTTCAGATACATGTGTACAGTTAAACTTGGGGAATAGCTCATTCTATGGATTGAACACTCAACCAAATAATACAACACAATTCCAGGGATTCTTTACAAGCAACAAATAACCGTCATTATTTTTCTTAAATGCAAATAAACTACATTAAATAATAAAAATATTATAATTAAAATTACTTTTTGTAAGTTTTTAAATAAATTTAAATGCTACTTTAACTGCTAGCATACATCAAACTATCAATAAACATTTTTTTTAAAAGGTTAATTAATTATATTTTATGTTATATACTTTTATACAAAAAATACATAGATTAGTTATTCGCATTAAATCAAATATTAACACAATCATACGACCTTGTTACCAAAATATCAATAATCTAATTTTCAATTTAAAAAGTTTTTGTATTACACTAATTACTAAAAGCACAGGAGTAGATGTTAAGAGTATAAAGTAATGAAAACTGGCATTTTGTTTTGATAAATTTGTTTAATCTGGATATAAGTATCCTGAGGCTTGAGCCTTGCAAAACCTTTAGTTGCTTTTACCCAGTAGTAATAGTAGTAGTAACTTAGTGCCAAGGATTTTCTATAAGTAAAAAACAATTTACCAATTTTAGTATTTGATCTTCGAACAAAAAATTGCCGATTTTTTAAAATTTCTTAGAGTGGGACATTTGCCATAGTCTGCCTTCTCCCCTAAATTACGCCCCTGGAGTGAAACAATGTATATATTAGTTTTATAGTGAATGAGTGTTAACCATTAATATGCTTTTCTAAAAAAAAAATAACTAAAATATACAAAAAAAACCACAAATATGAACTCACTATGTTATCGAACACAATATTAGTTCACCTAGCTATAAATAGAAAACATAAAAAAAGTATACTATTTCTATAAATTCTTGTCCATAGTTATAACATTGCATATAAAATAATTTTTGGAAAATGTTATGTTGTTAAAGTTATTCTCAATACATAAACATTAAAAACTTAAATATTTTTAAAGATAATAATTCGGATTTTGAAAGCTCAATGGAAAATTATACCAAATTTATAGGATTATTAAATTCCTGTGAAAGTCCGCAGTCATTGCCTCGAAATAGGTGGCTAAACCAAATAACTACAGCTGAATTAAAAAAAAAAAAAATTTCCAAAAAACCATGGGTATGCAAATTTTGAAAACCACTTAAAAAATTATAGCAAATTGCAAAATTCCTGTGAAGGTTTGGAGCCGCTAGCCTGATTTGTTTGTTACTGACTAAATTTAATTACAGAAAATCGTTAAATTAATATTACAGGCAACGGAAGTATTACCGAATCGCTTATCTAGTAAAAAAAAACGATCGTTAACAAAAGCCTTAAGGCGGTCCACACGACTGGTGTACTAGGCCAATATTTGTCACTGGTGACAACACGCCAGCCGCATAGGAGAGTTCACAAGTATTCATTGGCTGTCAGTGGCGTAACCAAGGGGAGGCTAAGGGGGCTATAGCCTCCCTCATGGGCCGTGTTTATATGTATAATGTATCTTGACTATTTAATAGAATCAATGCTCGTTTTAATCAAAGGCTTATTGATGTTATGCCACTTGAAGGACTTATTCCGGCCAATTTAAATATGTATGACGATAAAAATATTATAAAAGCTGCTAAAATATATGTCCAAGATTTCCATGATGATACCTCATCTACAATCAGAGCTGACCTATTCATATGGAGGCAACAATGGAGTCAAAATACTATTCCAAAACCGAATTCTGCTCTTGATTCACTCTCTCATCGCACCAATCTTCGACCTAACATTAAAATACTTTTACAATTATTCGCCACGTTACCAGTTACCTCTTTCACTCCGGAAAGAACGTTTTCAGCACTTAATCGCTTAAAAATTTTTTTAAGAAGCACCATGTCGAAAACAGACTGAATGGATTAGCTATGGCTAATATAAATAAAAAAGAGCAATTCCATGAAAGTGAAATAATAACTGAATTTGAACGAAATTCGCCTAAGAGAATGCAGCTGTCAGAGTGGAGCAAGTGACTGAACACTGAAACCAAAATTATTATTATTATTATAAATTATATATTAATAAATATTTTTAAAACTATACTAAAATGCTACTACTAAATTGCGTTTAGAAACTTGGTGGTAGATGGTGGGGGGGTTAAGGGTGAATTCTCATATCCTTTCTTACCTTACTTATCCAAAAAAAGTGGTTAGCCCCCCATTTAAAAATTCTGGCTACGCCACTGTTGGCTGTCACCCGTGAATTATACTTTTAAACACGATTAAAGACATACGTATATCTTTAATCGTGCTTTTAACCAATAAATACAATAAATAATACAATCTAATAATTTAAAATAGTTTTATTTTGTACTTTACAGTTTTGCCAGGCGCCGTCATATTTGTCCCACTTATAATTTAAAACATTGTTCTCGTATTTAATTAAATTATGTCTGAGTCTATGATTAAAAAACTTTATTTTACATTTTAATCATTTCACATAGATTTATCCCTAGTTTACTTCATTTTAGCTTCATTTTCATATTAGGTTTTTTCATTTTTGAGACACTTTAATAATAATTGTAGATTGTACGAAATGTTTTATAACATAGGTAATAAAAAAATGGATTTAAATGTATACTACCTACATCAGTAGCTTGTCGCTACAGTCTATAACACTATTATGCTAATGATATATTAAAATTTAAGAAATTATAAGTCATGGATAACATTCTGTTATGAACACGAAATCGAAAAAAAATAAATATCGATTTCTGAAACCGAAATTGAAAAAAATGAATATTAATATTCATAATCAAAAACAAAATTGCAAAAAATAAATATCAATATTTAAGATCAAAATCGAAATTAAAAAATACTAATATCAATAATCAAAATTGAAAATAAAATCTAAATTTTTTATTTCGATTTCAAGCCCTGATTTTTATTAGTATTAAAATTTGGGAACTTAAGTTATTGCTCCCTTATTTATTTAATTCTATCACTTGTTGCCTAAGCTCTTCTTGATGGTAATATATGAGACAAATATGGTAAAATAAAATATTTTTATTTTATTTATTGAAGCCCTTTTTTACATAGTGTGTACACTTTTACATTATTTTATGATGGCAACATGTACGATTAAGACATTTAATAAATACAATTAATTAGAACATGAAAACAGAAAAATTAAAACTTAAAAAGAAAGTCCACATTAGCGTTCAATATTAATCTATTAAGTGGTTTATTGCCAAATAAGTGGTAGCACGAGGAACATAAAATGGAGCATTTGTATCTAGTGAGTGTCTATGGCATTCTAAAATACATATATGCGCGAAACAAGTTCATTGGAATCAATTTTGCCGTCCTTTAATAAATTTAATACCAGTAGTTCGTCTATGCTTCACTAAAGATAAGAGGCCAAGTGCATTAGCAACAGGTGAGTAATTATGAGATGAACAGGAAATTTTTAAGAAATAATTAGCAAATCGAAATATCTTGTTTTGAACTCTTTGAATTTGCCGTATATTCAAGCCCGGATTATGATAATATGAGGCCCAAAGCTAAACAATTTTAAGGGCCCATAATCATAATCAAAATATTGGTGATCCACACATAAATATATTTGAGACAAAAAAAAATATTGTATTTTAATTTATAAATTTATTTCTTGCTTTTTTAAATATAAAAATAAAAATGTTATTTGTATAAATAATTTGTTCCTGCTTTTTGGGAAGCAAACCCTTTAATTATATCATCTGTAGTAATTACCTCCAAAACATCACTCTCTGAACACAAAACCATAAAATTATTTTAATTTTTTTGAAAACTACTCGTTCTATACACGTTTTTTTATACGAGCTATAAAAGAGTTAAAAAAAACGAAAAAACCTACTATCCACCATAGGCCCACTATTGTTTGATATTCGTTGTGGGTCCGTGGCCATGGCCCCTCCCTTTAATTCGGGCTTGTTTATATTACTAGTTGTATGTAGATCCCACGCAGTACAACCATAGGTACTCCAGAATTGGACGAAAATATGAAGGTTAAAGTATGAAATATGTAATAGATTTAAAAAAAAAAAAAATAGAAATTGAATCAAGGTTTTTAAATTAAGATGAAGAGAAAATATGATTACAGCTACGTATCACGCTGTGATTACCAGCTGCTGTCTGCTATACAAATATCTGCGCACATTGAAACTTTGTTCTTATCAACTACTAATAATTCACTAATTGCAATCGACAAATATTAATTCAAATCAATCAATTAAAAACAAGATTCTAATAACGAATATATTTTTCTTAAATTAGTTTTTAATTAAAAAAAAATTAAAAGCTATTTTAGTTTAAAATCTTCGATACAAAATATTTAAGGTTATACCGCGAATTTGTGCATTTTTCTTTTTGTTATTGTTATTATCGATTATAGCTAGTTGTTGTCAGTTGCATAGTTTAGTTAATTTTGTATTATTTATCGAAAATAGTATTTTATTTATATCCCAAAGTACGAAAATAATGTTATTGTTTTTAATTCAGTGAGGTAGTTGTAATCCTAATTTAATTATTAATACTAATATTACATTTTGGATGGACGTAGTAATTTTGTGAGTGGATGTGAATGAACGATGCTGTTACTGAATATCATCCATAGAAATAAAGACGAATGTTTTCTATTAATACTGGCTCTTTTGCTGTATTACGTGATGATATTTTTAGAAGAAACTGAGAAAAATCGTTAAAAAGGTAATTGCGATTTGAATTTTCTCATGGAAAATCAATGGGAAATTCATTATTATTTATTATTTCTTAACTTTTAGCTAAGTTTAAATTTAAAGCCAATAGGTGTAATAAAATACATACCTAGACTATAAATTTGATTATAATTACTTGGTTAGCACTTTGAATTAGATTTAGTAATATTTAAATTTCTAATTAAATAATGATATTGGTACAGATTTAAAGTTCTTAAAAATTCTTTCAAGTATTGTAATATTACATTCAGTTAGTTAAAAAAAAATGTATCGTTCTGCAAGCATAGCAAGTTGCTTTGTTAAGCATGTTTTGTCAAAAGAGCTCGTATACAATTTCAGCCCTAGGGCCCATAGGTGCTTAATCCGGCCTTGACACGTGAACTATAAAAAAAAAAAATATAGGTACACAAGGTGTGAAGATTGTTTTATGATGATCAGGAAATCTGAATTGTAAGGCATCCCTCCTTTTATCTTGAGCCATTTCGACCACTGATTACATTCATTTGGTATACAGTACATACATTTATATCTGTGTAAATATTTATAGTTTAACTAAAAGATTAAATTTAGAAATATCTTAAAAGCTTATATGTTGTATATGATCTTAAGTTTTTATTTTGAAAACAAATAAATAGCATTGACTATTTAATTATAAATAATTATTATTACTATTTAATTATTATTTATTTTTTTTGACTATTATTAGTGTTGGCTAATTTGATCATTTGAAATTTATTATTAAATATTTTATGTGAAATAATTTTTATTTAATGTATTTATAAACTCTATTAACATTTCAAACATAAATTAAAAATCAGTAAAAAAATATTATTTTATTATTTAAAATATTTTTAGGATTTTGCCAACCATTCAAATATGTTTGTTGAGGATTTAGTCAAAGGATTTTATGATATAATTTCAAAAACTGTAAGTAGTTTATAAAAATATATATTTTATATAACTTTATATTTTTAATTGTTTTATTTATTTATTTTTATGATAGATTTCTTATAAAAAGTCATATTTCTATAAAACATAATTCAAATAATTAAACTCTAAATAAATATATTGGTGTTTTTAAATTACAATTGATTAATCCATTTTATTATTAATATTTAATTTATTTATTGTAGAAAATACTTATATTAGTGAACTATGACGTGGATGCAATATGTGCTGTAAAAATACTGAAATGTATTTTACGTTTTGACAATATAATTTATGTGCTTGTACCAGTTAAGACTGTGACAGAATTAAAAAAAGCATTTGAAGAGCAAAAAGTTGACGTAAGCTAGTAATTTTCCATTTTTTTTAAATATTTACAAGTGTAAATTACATTTTTTTAGGTAAAACATATAGTGTTAATAAATTGTGGAGGTACATTAGATATCATAGAATTATTAGAACCAGATGAAGATATTATTTTTTTCATTGTTGACAGTCATAGACCTACAGATATATGTAATATTTATAGTAGTTCTCAGGTAATTGATTTTTTTTTGTATGTTTTTTAAACAAGTACTTTAATAAATTATAAAATTTCAGATAAGATTATTGACTCCTCCTGATGATGATGAAAACATACCAAACTTTGAAGAAATATTTAATGAAACTGAAGTAATTATTTGTGACTTTACAGTATAAAGTTTTATTTATAACTAAGTATGTATTGTTTAGTCATCAGATGAAGATGTTAATTCAGATGAACTCGATGAAATTGAGCCTGATAATGAAAATGTTAATAGTGTTGAAGAACAACAAAACAAAAGAAGAAAACTTGATCAAAGTATATTAGTTAAACGAAGAGAAAGAAGAAGATGGGAAGAAAACAGAAAAAAATTGTTATTTGATTATACTCAGTTTTCATATTATGGGCGTTCGGTTTGTTTATTTAAATTGTATTCCAAATTAGTCTGCTACAGTGCTACTACACATGTGCTCTTTAACTTATAGGCTGCAATGATGATGTTTGATCTTGCATGGAAATTGCATAGAGAATCTGTTGATTTATTATGGTAAATATTTTATTTTGTCATAATTTTTTAATTTTAAAGGTATAATTTGTTTTTTTGTTAATTTAATATGATGATTTTCTTAGAACTTCCGTCATACTTACTGCATAGAATTATTTGTAATGACAGCTGTAGCAAAACAATACTTAAAAAAAATGTTATTTATAATATAAATGAATCTTATATCTATCAGGTGGGGCATTGTTGGAGTAACCGAACAATACATATTAGGAAAAACAGAACGTATGCGTTATTTAAAAGAAGTAGAATTGATAGCTGGTCATATTGGTCGTATTTGTGATTCTACAATTAATCATGATGATGAGAATATGTCTCAGTCATCATTGGTGAAACCTTCAAATACGTCTACCCATCTACGAATTGAATCTGAAAAAGAGTAAGACTTCTTTTGCAAAAAAGGAATTGAAATGACTAAAATATCACACATTTTCAGTCTATTATTAGCATTATACAGACATTGGACAATTGAATGTAGTCTTCGGTATTCAATGTTCACAGCAGTATCTTTAAAACTCTGGACAATCAAAGGCGAAAAAAGACTGAAACAAATTCTAGCAGAAATGGGGTAAATTCTTTGTTTTGAAAATCTATGTACTGAATTGTTCAATATATTTTATTATATTGTTCTATACTTTAACTATATATACTATTTTATAAATAGTAAAACTATATAAATGTAAACTCTATCATATTTTTACTTTTAGATTACCACTTGCTGAAAGTCGTCAAATGTACCATTCAATGGATTTAAGTTTACGTAAAGAGTTTTATGGTATGATGGAAAAAATTTCCAGTACACATAATTTATTACAAATGACTTATCCTTCATTTATGTTACACCAAGGATTTAAAACGAGGTACCAATGTGCTGACTATGTTTATTCTATGGTAGCTTCACTAGAAACTAATGTAAGTTTCTTGAGTGCTTATTATTAAATTTTATTCTTTTTTAAATATTATTTATTCTTATAGTCTCGTGAAAATTCTTCTATTCAATGTTTTTATAATACAATGGATTCATTATCTCGGTAAGTGGTAAAAATAAATGTATGAAAAAATTTAATACTACATAAAAAATAATTATTTATGTTGTACTAGATCAAAAAAAGATTTATTAGATCAAGGAATAGAAAAAGCCAAATGGATATTGACCAACATGTTTAGGCATGTTCAAGCTGCATTGGACATGAGACAAGTGATATTAGCTGGACCATTTTACTATTTAATCATACAAGAGGTATATACTACTACAGTACCATGTATAATTATACTGTTAAGGCCTGGTGCACACTTGCGTATTTTTAACGTGCGGCGCCCCTGCGATGCTGCACGTGCGGTTAGAAATACTAATAATAACATGAAACGGTGCGCACGATGTTGCGGCGACGTACATCCCCGTGCGTGTAGTTTGTATTTTATTTTAGTTTGTAGGTTCCTGCCACGCCACAAGTTCACCGGACACGCGTTATCAACCGCAACTCCGGCAAATATACTTTGTCATCAATCGTGCCATTATCACAGGCGTTTTTTCACGCACGGTAAAATTGTTAAATAACATTTAAGTCACAGCTAGCATTTCCAATGGAGGTATGATCTAAAGACTTAATCGTATCAGTTATTTTGTCTGCAAGTTTGTTAAACGATTGAATACTCATACGAAAGTAGTTTAAAAACTTATCTGGATTTTCTCGTTAACCCGAAAACAAAGTAATAAAGCCACCTCTAGTTAGCTTATCATCGATGTAAGAATGTACCCAGTAACGTCTTTTTTTTTTAAAACAAATTTTTTGTATACAATGTATGCGAAAATCGCAAGTTTTTTTTTTTTGATAGACCTCTATCGCCAACAAAAAAACTAATACGAATGATGGCATCGTTACGTAGCTGGCCTAACGTTATGTATACAGCCTCGCAGCAGTGCCGCACATTAATTAACGCAAGTGTGCATCTAGACAAATTGTTAAAAACTGTTAATTATTTTACCTTTTATTATTATTAAATTTATTGCCTAGGGTACCCTACATTCTCAGCACTATTCCAATCCTCACTGCTTAATTATGTTAGCATCATTTGCTCTAAGAGCTCAAGTCGCTTCTTCGCGTAAAACCAAAGCTACTCGTTTACCATTAATTGCTTCAGCCACCCTTGATTCAGAACAAGACACTTGTTTAATCGTTGGTATTCCTCCTATCACAGAAACAATGCCTCGGAGGTAAGATTTTAATTGTATTTAATTTTTTTTAACTCTTATTGTCATTGATATAACTATGAGAAAAAACATTCTGTGTTATGCTACCAAGATAATTACAATAACAAAAATTTTTTAATTATTAAAAATAAACTGAATTCATTTATGATTTGATGGATTTACAAATTTGTTTACATTTAAATATAATTTGTAGTATATTTAATTTAAATTAATACTATTTAAGTATTAGACAATTGAATATTGTGAATATAGGAGTAATTCTTATTTTCCATTAAAACTAGATAAACAAAAATTAAATACTTTTAGAGTTGACAATACTTACACATAAGTAATTTTTTATTAATGAGTAATGAATCAGTGTAAAAGAACAAATGAAATAAAATATATTTAATACATTTCTTTAAGTAAAAATAATAAAAAAATTCATAAAAACTGATGAGTAATTTCATCATTTTAGAACAATTAAATTATAATAACTATCTATGTATATAATAAAAAAAAATTCAATGTGTATTCAACTTTTTACAAGATTCAAAAATAAACTTTATTTTTTATAATTATCAATTATTGAATAATATAATTACATCATATAAATAGTTTTTTATCTTACGTGTAATACCGTTAAAATGTTCTAGTTTTTTCGGAAAAGCATTTGAACAAGTTGCTAACAACACTAATATTGAAGTTTCATTGGATTACTTTGATTCATCTATCGCAAAAATGCCAATTAAAGATCGACCGAAGTTTTTTGATGCTCTGACAGCATTACTTAGTTGACAATAGTCATTGTCATTATATTATACTTAATTATTTAAATTTAACATAATGTAAATTAATAATAAATGTTTGTTTTTAATTATAAGCATAATAACTTTTTTCTTTGTAAAAATTGTTTATTTTATTAAATAAAATCTTAACATAAATATTATAATTGTGTTTTTGAACTGTTACTTAATTATTTTATTTTTGTTTTATGAAAGGTAAGATTTTATTTGATGATTTATATTTCAATATTAATATAAGCTGCAGCGAAAATGTCAACCTAGAAAAAAAAAAAAACCTTAAAAATATTGTAAGTAAATTTACATAAATTAAATCTTATTCATATTAATTCTTAAGGTATTTATTACTTTATTTATTTCAATAACAAAGAAATTATAAAACATAAATATATATTATTATTTTACAAATTCAACATAGTTAAAATATACCTAATTAACCACCCATTATTAATTTAATATGAATTACAGTTTAATATGCTTGTTAAGTGTAATATTAAGTATGTAATAAAAATATTTATATTTTAATTTATAATTATACTTTTCATTTAATTATACCTAAAATAAAATAAAATTATTTTCGTCAATTTGATTTACAAATGTACAATAATGTACACAAATTTACATGTACAGTTTATTTTATCATGTATATATACTTTTTTGTTTTTTTGTTAAATAGCAGATTTATTTTCTTATAATTGTATATTTTCTAAAAAAATTAAGAACCTAAACATTATTTAATACATTTTAACTATATTACTACACAATTGAAATTTCATTTATTTATAATAAAATAAATATCAAACATTTTGTTATTTGAAATAATATATTATTAACTATTAATACTAATAATATATTAGTATTAAAATAATAAAATTAAAAATATATCTATACATTTTTTTTATTTATAATATATTATGTACATTGTACGTAAATTGGAAATACAAAACATTATAAATGGAAACCATTCAATTTTATTCAGTTCTTTACCACTATTGAGGACAAGAGGACATGAAAATGACACTCAAATTTAAAAATTTTAGTTAAAGATCCTTTTAAGTAAATTGTAAAGATTTTACATATTCTTGATTAATTTCATAAATTTATTAATATACATTAAATACAAAGAATTCAACAGTTATTCAAAATTTTAAAAACTGATAAAAGTAAAGTAAAATTGACTTGATGTTTTAATACAAACAGTTTTGAAAATTGTAAGAATCAATAAAATTACTATAAAATATTGGGCAGTATAAAAAGTAGGATTCCTTTTCAACATTTTTTTTTAATGAAAAGTATATTTACGAAAATTTTTTTTTTACATATTACATTTACATTTACAATTTTTTTTCTATATTTTTAGATCCTCTTTCCAAAAGAAAAAATCTGAATACAATTTTAAGACATTTATTTGTTATATTTTATTTTTCTCATTTATGTGTAATTGGAGACAAATCAATGATTTTATTAACTTCAGATATTTTATTTTTTATAAATACCTCATTTAATATAAATACCTGACAAAAAGTCACATGTAATTTTTGAAGATCTGCATACTTTCGAATGACTTCGAAGCACTTTTTGAAATAAAGTGCCCATTATGACCATTTTCTTCTGCTATGTGATAATTTCACCATAGTTGTAACAGGATATTGTTTACATTAATTTACTTTTATATGGATATTTTTTTCTTTGTTTTATTTTAATAGTTACATAATTATAGACTTAACCCCATTCTCAATTTAAATAAACTCGCTTTATCAATAGCATTGAGCTTTTAAAAATCAATTCTAAATTATCTTTATAGAAAATTAATATTTACCTGAAGTAATAAATGTAATGTTATGTTGCCATGAATATCATTTTAGTGATGATCTCTACGACTATTACCATTATATCCTAATAATTAAATATTTTGTTTAATTCAGTAACCATTAGTTTAATATAAAATAATAATAAATATAAATTTAATTACCTCTGTGTCTATGACTACTATGACTACTAGTGATACGATGACCTCGACTTCTACTTCTTCGTCTTTCTCTTTCATGACGATCAGATTTTCTGCAGTTAAAGTACAAAATAGATTTAATTTAAAAAATGAAAAAATCCATTTCTGTATCTATTGTTAACTTTTTTAGTAATATATATTAACGTTACATAAACTTTTAATTCTGTATTAATATTAAATATAAGTATTATTTCAATAGAATATAAACAAATTACAATAAAAATAACACTAATCAAAACTTAGAGAATTATGGTACAAAAGTCTTTCATCGTTTTATCTTCTAGGAATATAATTGTGTTAAAATAATAAATATGGTTGATAGTACCTATCAGTTCTATGATGTGACCGGTCTCTAGAGCTTTTAGATCTCTTATCTCGATCAGCATCGCGACTATGTCTATCTATATCTTTAGAATTACTCCTAAAAGAAAAAAAACAAAAATTTATTTTTAATAAGAAAATACACACACACATATATATATATATATATATATATATATATATATATAAATTTATTATATATGTTACGAGCAATGTGAAATACTGGGCAATGTGTACATTGCCCAGTCAATGTGTTTTTGCCTGGGCAAAATGTGAACCATGATTTTTTTATAAATTAATTTTTATTTTCATTATAAATTATAATTTTATTATTACCTATTGACTAGTTATAATAATTTATAGTATTGTTTTTTTTTATAATTTTAAAATTTTTACCTATTTATAATTTAATATTTTTGTTAAAAAAACAATGGTTATTAATTTTATTATCATACTAAGAATATTTTATAAAACTATGAAACTAAACAATATTTATTAATTATATTCATTTATTATAATATTAGGAATATTTTGATGGAATAACAAAAAAATTAATAAATATTATAGTTTTATTTTTATTATACCTAAATTATAATTTAATAATTTAATAATAAAATTAATACTCATTCTTTTTTAAAAAAAAATATTATAAATAGATAAACAGTTTAAAATTATAATTTATAATGAAAATAAAAAATAATATTAGTTGGTTAATAAAAAAAATTGTGGTTCACATTTCCATAACATATATATACAGTGTGTAATCGGTAATTGGAAACACTTAGTAACATATTAAATATATTTGAATTATGTTTTTTTTGATGCCTAACAAACTTTATCTTACACTTATTACGCTAATTAAACTAATTTTAGGCCATTTAATTTCGAGCATGCGCATAACAACTTTTTTTTTTAAATGACAATCCCCCTTTTTTTTCAGGTATTTTTTTTTATAAATTTTAATGGTCAAACCAACTACTTAAGTTAAATATTAGCTGAGTTATGAATTTTTAAATCTTTGATATTATTTTTTTAAATTTTTGAACTATCCACAAATTTGATGACTTAAATCTCTCCCCCCATAATATGATATATCCTAGTACTACTTTTGGGAGGGATAATGCATTATCTTACAATACTTTTTTTCCCCATGTAATAATTTGTCTCCTTAGGTAATTGAAAAACACAATTTTTTTTTAATTTTAATTTTTTTAGTTAGTTTAATTTACATTAATTTATGTAATGAATTGTTCAAATTGTTCTCCAATATGAATTAAGCTGCTAATCATGCTTCTGCCCTCCATAGAAATTCCCTATTTGTAGCACTTGAAATTTGTTCTTTAGATATCTGATTACATGCCGCATTTATTTTATTTTTCAAATGCATAAGACTAGTAGGTGGGTCTGCATAGACGACAGTTTTTAGACACCCCCCACAAAAAGTAGTCTAGTGGTGTGAGATCTGAGTATCAAGGTGGCCATTGTATAATCCCATAAGTTCCTATCCAACAATTTTCAAAATTTTCATTTAAATAATTCCACACGACTGTTGCTTTATGTGCTGTGGTTCCATCTTGTTGCAAATCAAATCGTTTCTTGTTGCAAGAGGATTATTGTCAAGCCTGATCGGTAACTCATTCATTAGAAATTCTAGATATCACCTTCCATTTAATATACCATTGTAGAAATAAGGTCCCAACAATCTACCTCCAATTAAACCGCACCAAACATTTGTTCTCCAGACACATTGGTTATTTGTTTCAATAACCCATTGGGGATTTCGATCGTCCCAATAATGATTATTTTGTTTATTTATAATTCCATTGTTAGTAAATTTAGACTCATCTATCCACAATATGTAATTTAAAATTATAGGATTCTTTTCTAATTCAGTAATCAGCCAAGAAATAGACATAATCCTACGTTCAGCATTGCCTTGTCGTAAATGTTGAACCAAATCAGGTCTGTATGGATGCAATTTATGATTTTTTTTTTAAATTTTATGAACTGTATTATGAGAAATACCGATTTCAAAACCTACATGACTCACATTAACTGTGGGATTTGATCTTACGTATGCTAACACTTAAAGTTCAATATCTTCACTTAATGTATCAGCTCATCTAGGTTGTTGGTTGACATTAACTCTTGTATTAGAAAAATACCCTATATTTCTTAAATTTCTTTCTAACTTATGAAAATAACTACATAATGGGTGTTGCCTATCTGAATTTAGGAAAATAAAAAAAAAATTGTATTACTCTCATTAATTATAACACATCCATAAGTCATACAATGATACAAAATACTAATCAATAAACATATACCTGGAAACATTCAGCATAAACGTGTATAGCGTGACGTGAATTTTTTTCACATTCCCAGTAAATAAAAAGTATATCAATTTTTTCTGAATTATTCATAATTTATTTAAGCCTTTTAAACTAAATAATTAAAATAAATTTAAAAACTTCCAAGATGTATTAAATATAATTAAATAGACACATGGAAAATCACAGCAATATCACTCTAAAGCAAATACGGCATTGATAATTGCACTGCCCTATTTCAAATGTAGACAGTAAATTCAACCCATCTAAATTACTTTCAATTCAGATAACCACAGTAGTAAAACCTGTACTTATCATTTATCATTTAAAAACATCCCTCAAAAGAAATAAAATTGATGTGATAAAAAGGTTATTGTTTGTGAATCGAATACAATTTGTGATAATCCAAAAAATATCATAAAAACTATTTCAACAAATATAAAACAATTAAAAATCCATAACTCAGCTAATTTTTAACTTAGGAAGTTAAACCAACTTGAAAGATAAAATAAATGCGGCATGTAATCAGATTACTAAAGAACAAATTTCAAGTGCAATAAATAGGGAATTTCTACGGAGGGCAGATGCATGTTTAATTCATAATAGAGAATAATTCGAACAATTCATTACATAAATTAATGTAACTTAAACTAACTAAAAAAATTAAAATTAAAAAAAAATTGTTTTTTTAATTACCTAGGGAGAAAAATTATTACAAGGGGAAAAAAAGTATGGTAAAATAAAGCATTATCACTCCCAAAAGTAGTACTAGGATATATCATATTATGGGGGGGGGGGGGGGAATTTGAGAATTTAAGTCATCAAATTTGTGGATAGTTCAAAAATTTAAAAAAATAATATCAAAGATTTAAAAATTCATAACTCAGCTAATATTTAACTTAGGAAGTTGGTTTGACCATTAAAATTTTTTAAAAAAAATACCAGCAAAAATAATTACAAGAAAAAAAGGGGGGTTGTCATCAAAACAAAAAGTTGTTATGGACATGCGCGAAATTAAATAGCCTAAAATTAGTTTAATGAGTGTATGACAATGTTTTATAGGCATCCAAAAAAAACATAATTCTTATTAAATATGTGCAAAGTTACAAAATAAGTGCAAAATATGACTATTATAAAATTTACCTAGTACGTTCCATGCGCTTCTTTCTTTCTTCTTCTCGTTGTTTTTCTCTTTCTTCAACATATTTTTTTCTTTGTTCTTGGATTTCATTTACTGCATTTTTCAAACGAGCATAACCCATATGTTGCTTGCCCATTAAATGATCATCAATTCGTGATTGAGCATCACCAACAATCAAAAAAGCTCCACAAACTTCACATACTTCCATTTGTTTTTCTTGAGCTGCAGCTAATTCATAAGTCTTTAACAAATAATTAATTTGAGATACAATTTATTTAAATAAGAATCATATTTAGTAAGAAAATGTATTAAAAATTAGTAAAATTTAGTATGAAATTACTTGAGACCAATGAATGCTTTCGTTTTGTTTCCTTAAAGTATCACGTTCTTCTTTTAACTGATCACAAAGTTTCATAAGTCCTTGGGCTTCTTCGACATGACCACGAGTACCCATTTGTTCAGCCTCTTGTACTAACCCATTAATTTTTTCTGATAATAGTTTTATTTGCTCTTGGTTTTTCTGACTTTGACTATTTGAATGAGACACCGGCTACAAAATATTAGATTAAAGTGTTATTTAACAACATAATTATTCATATATTAATTGATATATTTATCCCAATAGTATTATAATATTAAATTTGTTAATAAGTAAAATATATTAAAATGATATAATACTTAACAGTATACTTAAAGATGTCTACAGTAATAAAATAAAAACAAATTTCTTTAATAATTCATTGAGTATTCTATGATTTAATTAATAAAATTAAATATTTTTAAATTATTATACTGTATCATGTATTTTTCTTAATGTAAAATAAATACATTTTCAGCACACTACAAATTCTCTATAATATTTATCAATAGATAATGTGAAATGTTGGAATAAAAATTATGGTAAATAATATGTTTGAAATTAATATTATTTACTTAAAATTTCAAATAATATGATTGAATTGCATTTAAATAATTTATTTGAAGTAAATTTAAAAACAATTAATATTTCATAAACTAAATTAAAAAATTATAAGTGAAATTCAAACTTTGACCTAATACAGAGAAATATAAGTAAATCAATTGAAATTATAAAATACACACCAATACATCAATTAATAACACAAATTTAAAACTTAGTACTACCCATTTATTTACACATTAATAGAATCTAATATCTAATATTATTTAGTTTTTAAAAATTAAAATGTAAAATGGGGGGAATTATTTAATGATGTACCTCGAAAACCTTTGACGCGGTTAAGATTCGAGGCCGTTATCGCCGCATCCATGATCAACAATACAGCATCCGATCACGATCTGCCTTTTTTAATTTACCTATAGAATACGCTAATAACTTTTTAAGGCCAAATGAAATTATTGATTTCATTTTTATACCATTCATTATAAACAATGATTGTAAATAAATTATTTATAATATTGTTCAAGAACTTACATTAAAATGATGTAATGTTGCCTAAAGTAAATATAAAATAGCTTCAGAATACTAACCGTTTCAGTTTTATTCATAAGCTCCAACCTTTGTTTGCCTTTTTCGATGCGACGTTCAACATCATTTAATAAACTAGTAGCAAATGCAACAAACTCATCTTCATATTGCATTTTTGAACGAATACTAGCTTCATTGTATTGTGTTTTAGCTTCTTCGCAATGAACTTTTGGACAAGCTCCAAGATCAGCACGGGTATTGACAAACAAATCATGAGGACAGAATTTAACCATAAAATATTTACAAAACTGAAAACAAAAAAATTAATTTGATAAAACTATTAAAAAAAAAAAACAGTAAATATTTAATTACTGTATAATGAATATATTAATATTATTATTTATATATTAATATATTTATATTAAAAATTTAATTATATTACTTATAATCACAAACATTTTTAATGAAAAATTTTAATTTAAAAAAATTTTTTTTATACTAAATTAAATATGTAGGTTAGGCTTATAAATTATAACTTTAAAAACAAAAATATTTTTGTTCTAAAATAAACTTTCTTCAATTATTCAATTTAAATCTTAATCCTTGAAGGTCTAAAATAATCATTAATTTTTAAAATTTGACTTAAGCAGGTAAAAAACAACCTATCACCTATGAAGGGGGATCAACAGGATCATTTTTCCCCAAATCCCAGAAAATTTAAAAGGGGCCCCTTTTAAGTCCAAATTGTCCAGATTGATTATAAATACCCGGTGTTACTTATTAGAGATCATTGATATAAATATATTATTTCTATACAATTTTTCTTTATGAGATATTAATAAATTTAAATAAATAAAATAAATTTATATTTAAGCGCAAATATACAAGCTACATTTTCAGTTATTTTAATTTCTAAATAGTTATTACTTCATTATGATTAATGCTGGAGTATGAAGAATAACATAATTTTATCCAAATTTACATAAAAATTTGCTACCACAAGTATCAACTCAAAAACATCCAAGTTCTTATTTTCTACGGCTGTTTATAAATTATGTAGGAAATAATAAAATTTTAATTAAATTTGGTAATTGATAATACATTAATGATGAGTGATTATAAATGTAATTTATTGTATCGATCTATTTAAATAATCTTGGTTGGTTGAAGTTTAGAAAAATATATTTACCAACATATTTCAAACTTGATGTTTATTTTTTTTATCATACTCATATATTATTGTGATGATTAAGGGCTCCCAAATAAATTTGCCTTAAGCTCTAAGAATCCTTAGGACGGCTCTAAAGAAAATGTCAATTTTTATAGGTACATTAAATAATACTTGATACATTATTATTTTAGGGCCTAGTAAAAAAACATAGTAGCTTAAAACAATTGTTACAAGTAAATAAATTATCAATAATGACTACAATATTACATTGATAATCAGTATGATCAAACTTATAGGGTTAGAAAAAGTTTTTATAAACTCTGTAGCTATGAAAATGTATTGTTATAATTCCAATAGTAGAGTTCATTCTATATTATTATAATATATTAAAATATATAGTTTATTATTTAGTTCATACTATAAATCTTACTTTAAAATTTTTTTTAAATATTAATACATTATATTCACTGTAATAATGCATTCATACTAAATTATAAGTAAAATAAAACAATATATAAATAAATAAACAAATAGTTAATTTAACCAGTCAGAATAGAAGTACTTTACAAATATGATAATACTACAGGCTAATTGTTTATTAATATATTTCTATAAACTATATGTATATTAATTTACAAGTATTAACCATTTAAAATAATTTTTACAGTTTGTATACACAAATAAAGAATCAAATTGCATTCAATTTTTTTTCCTATGGGATTAGTTAATGATGTTAAAAATTAGACTATACACTTAGTATAAAAACGTAAAAAAAAAAAAAAATCCAAAAACTGTTTTAGACAAATAAATGTATAGTTGAAATGCTGTAATATTTCTTTCTAACACAACTACTAAAACACCAATCCAACTAAAAATAAACTTTGAAATAGAAGTATAAAACTTTTGAAGAAATTTGAAAAATATTTCTATTTGAATAGAATGTATTCTTATCTAAAAAAAAAATAATGTTTTAAAATATTTTTGTTTTAAATAATGCAAACTTGATGGAAACTTTTATTGAGTATATACAAGTATGAGCGATCATTTTAGGAGTATAATTACAATATGAAAAATACATTTTTGGTTAAAATGATGTATTAAAATAATTTTAAAATTAGTATATAGAATTATTTGTGCACTTATTATAAAACACTTACTTCTGGATCTTCCCAATGAACTGGTTTCTTTTGAGCATTTGGACCATCGTTTCGATTTCGTCCCATAAGTTCATCGAGTAACGCTGCAGCCGCCGATACAGCCATTATGATAAAGATTCAGTTAACAAATAGGTGCTTGATTAAAGTGCAACAATCGAATCAATAAACCGTACAATTAATAATCAGACTACAAATTTAGAATAATAATAAAATTGCTCCTTTAATAAAAATCTACAAATATTTTATTTTGTCGTAAGACAGGTCAGCAAACATACTTAGAACCTGGAGGCTAAAGTAAAAATATTGTTATCTAAATAGCAAATTTAATATAGGTAACTGCATAAACCATATGCTATAATATATATTGGAAAATGGATAGGACGGTAAAATGAAGATTGATAACGAACCATGTCTCTTATAAGCGTCATACCAACGAATACTTTATAAATAACATGGTTACGTCATCTTATTATTGACCATGGTTAAAACAATTTTTCATTATGGTAAGACAGTTCAATAATCATCAAATTTAATATATGATAACAGCCAATATCCTATGACATAGTCCGAGGGTAATTAATATACCTTGATGTTGTGGTGTCTACGTTTTAGTAAAATAATATAGAATTTTTATAGGTAATTGATCTGTGTTAGTGTAGACTGCAGATATATGTGTCTATCATCGATTGTTGAGGAGAAAAACTAATATTTATTATTTTTTGTGATTACTGTGTTAAATCTTATTCATTTAATATTACTCTCAAAAAATGCAAATTAAAAAATTTAAACTTTGTAATGTGTATTAATTTTCTAGTTAAAACGAAATAAAATAATTTCGAAGAAATGGATGAAACTAATTTATCATTACCCAGTAGTACAACTTTAGTGTTGCAACCACAAACATCTGATGGTCAAGTTGTACATTTGAAACTAAAGAAACCCAAGAACAATCAGAAACAAGTAAGTTGGGATGTCCATGCAGTTGACAATGAGCACTTAAACAAGAAAAAAAGCAAATGCTGTTGTATTTATCAAAAGCCAAAAAAATTTGGAGACCCTGATGGAAATGAAAGTAATGAAAGTGATAATGATGAATGTGATAGTTGTATGGGAAATAAAAAGACACATCAGTTGCACAGACATAAAAGCCAGACTGAGGAACAAAATGAAGAAAATGATTCATAAACTATTCTTATAAAATACTTCCTTGAGTAAAATCATCTACTTCAAATTATAGTTTTTTTGTTAATATAACTGTATAGTTATTTAATCCCATTGTATCTTTGAATATGCATTTTAAGAATTATTTAATTGTTCCAATAAAAAGTTCATTTTTATATTTTGCTATTTTTTTCTTTTATTTAACAATTAACAATTTAGTCTGTAAAATTTTAATTGTAAATATTATTTATTTGTTACATTAGTTATTTTCATTTATATTTATTTTTAAATAATGAAATTATTTTATCCAAAAAAACAAATCTAAACTGAAGTTAACATAATATATATACATTAAATATATTCCAACTTAAAATTAATATCAACCAGTTTGGTGCATACTAGACCTAGTCGGAAAAATAAATATTGTTGCGAAAATGAATAACAATTATTATTAAGGGTGAATCCATAGTTTTTGTGATTTAGCTATTTGGTATGCCATTGATATTTAAATAAAAGCATATTTTAATAGAATTCTGCAGGCATGGTCTTAAAATCATGTCCAAGGAAATTCTAGAGTCCTTTCAAATTTCTAGGCAATTCAACTTTAAAAGTCTTTTGTCTTATTATTTATCATTTAGTGAATTCATAAAACACTAAACTCTTTATGTACTTTTGAACATATAATAGTTTAATTTTTAATTTAATTATAATTTACCTATTCTTATTATCTTAATAAGCCTGATTCAAGTTTGGAATAAATAAATACCTATCTTAGCAGTTCACCTTGTTCAGTAAAGGTATTGAGCATAATAGATTCAATAACTGTGACAAATAAGTCATGTTATTCCAATTAATAGATTTTTAAATATTCATATAATAAATTGTTCTGATAAGAATTATCAATGCTATTTTATTTTATAATATTAAATAAACTTGATGGTTTAAAGGTACTTTAACATATAACTTTATATTCAAATTTTAAAGTTATGTATATTGGTTAAAAAACCAAATCTTACTATTATTTGCCTATCAATAACATTTTTTACTTCTTAAACATTTCATTTAACCTATACTAGTAATAAAAGGTGCATTTCATCATTTAAAAATATAAATTAGGTATCACAATAATATGCATGAAATCATCTCTAATTAAAAAGCGTGAAGGTTCTTTGAAAAATATTTATTAATTAGAAATTTAAGACCCAATTAATTTTATAGTTTATTTGTATATATATATAAAACCAATGAGTAACTACTCAAGGGTTAACAAATATTTATTCTATTATATAATATGGATTATGCATTTATAATATCTATTATTTTAATTAAACAAAAGATAATTATATATAATTAAAAATATATTGCAACAAAAATTTAATTATAATGTAATAATTGTTCAAATTAATATTCAATGCTAAAAACAATATCAAAATATAATTGAGCAATTTATTCATGAGGAAAAAATATTATGATTGGAGAACCTCCAAAACGCCTCCAACAAGTTTTAATGAACCTGTAACTAAAACTCGAAAGTATGTATTCTTTTCAGAGGAGCTGCAAAATTGCACATGCTTGATAGTTTCATCAATAGATTCAAGTACTTCTACATTACAAAAATCAATTAATTTTTTCATATTATGACACTTAACTAATTGTTCATTGTAATCATAATTTATGTCAACAGTATCTGAAATAAATAATAAATAGTTGTATTATAATACACATTCAAAATGATTTTTCAACAAATTACTTTTCATGGAAAATGTTTTATATTATTATCGATAAATGGTATAAAATACAACCTTATAATAACTTAAAATGTCATCAATCTAATAAATTATCTAATAAAAATATTAATTGCTTACAGATTAACTATTTTGATTATTGTATTGTACAATATAATTTAATCAACATATTTAAAAAAAAAAAAAAACATTTATTTAATCCTATAAATCCTAAAAAATGATTAAAATTAATTTTATTACTAAATTTAAAAATGTAATGCACTATAATAGCAATATTATAATAAGCTTTTATTTTGAGGATTTATTAAAACAAATAATAGAAAAAATGAATAAGAACTAAAGTAAACATTTCAAATACTCACGATGTTATATTATTTTTATACGATTTTAAGTCTAATTTAATATTTTTAAGATGTATAATATATAATTAAATTACCCAGGCGGCGATTCATAATAGATGTAACTATTGGACATAATAACACTAAATCAATTTTGTTTACAGTAGACAGTATTTTCAAGAATGTACCATAATCTCTTAGAGCTGTCACATTGAATATTAAAATATTTTTAACATTTCTGAAAATAAAAAATATTTTAACTGTTTTAATTATTCGGAATTCAATGAGTCGCTAAATTATACATATACTAATTTAGCAACTTTCCAGTTTTTTTTTTTTTTGCTGCAAAGAAACTTATTTTGGTAATCACATTTATAATAAAAATGCAACAGACTTTCATCGTTTATCAAAATTTAATATTTAAATGGTTATACATTTTTTGTTAATATAAGGATCAATAATTTCTTTCTAATCAGTAATACGAGTAGATATGTATATGGAACTTTTTATTTTACAAATTTCAAGACTTTATGTCAAACCAAAATTATTTTATTAATATTTTTGAAAAAATAAAAAAATGAACATTTTTATTTTCTATTATTATTTTTTAAGTTATGATGAAAAAAAAAATTTGATTTTGTAAAAACCGAGATGCCATAAATTTTAGCAAATTTTTATAAATGTTACTAATTTTTTTACAAATACTAAGAAAACTGTTGGAAAATTCATAAAATAACATCTTTCAAAATACTAACTAAACAATATTTTCTATTACAAATGCCTAAGACTGTGATAATCAGAGTAATTCTTCTAATTAAAATTGTGATTACAAAAAAAAAAAAAATGTGAATGAAAAAATTATAAACCTTGAAAATACCAACAAGAACCTATTTCTTATCTTTTACTTTCAATTTGGAGATGATTAAAACACTTTTTTTGGTTAAATGTGACCACCACAAAAAAAAAAAAACACATTTAAGTAAAATGAATACATTCCTCGTTACTTTTAACATTTAAAAAGATAGTAAATATATCAATTTAAAATTTAAGACATATTATTTATTTTTTGCAGACATATATAATCTTCTAATGAGATCATAAACTACAAATTAGCACTATCCTAAAGATATTTTTCAATGCCAAACTAAATTGAATTAAAAATAAAATATATATATATATATATTAATTATAGCTTACATTTCCGATTTTGGATAAAGATCTGAGTACCATTTACTGCATAATTGTATACTTTCAACAGTATGAGCTCCATCCAAGAAGTATGCTAAATTTGGTGATGCATTTATTATTTGATTACGACCAAGCCATTTAACCTCTTTTAATGCTTGTACATCACCTTTATTAATTTCCCAAATTGGCCCTTGCTTTATACCATTTAATCCAACACTACATTTCTTTAACCATTCTAAAAAAATTACAAAACAGACTATTATTTCACTTTATATACTAAACTTAAATTCTAATAATAAAATATTAATATTTACAAATTAAATACAAACCATTAGTATTTTTACGATTAATCCATGCATTAGCAAGTTGAATAGCAAGAGAAACATTTATTTCTTGCACTAAACTTAAAATTCCTATTTGTGATGTATTTATACACCAATTATACATATTAAATGAAGGAGCTTCCAACAATGATGCCTAAAATAAATATATTAATAATTATGTCTAATACTTTATTTAAATCATGATTAATATACAGAAAAAAATTATTTTTTATTTCCTTATATGTAATATTTAATATCTATTAAACCTAAATGACTATTTGATAACAGTAATTAAGTTTATGCATTATGAGATGAATACTTTACTTTTAAATTTAAATTGAAAAATTAATTGAAATATTTGACGTACCTGCTTTTCTACACTACGTTCAATTAATGTTTTGAATATTTCTTTAGGTTGGTGATTTGAAACAATTGTAACAGAATTTGGCTTCATAATGCCACTTTTTTGCCAAGCTATTTCTTCTAAAGTATCCCCTAATACAGTAGTATGATCAAACCCAATTGATGTAATTCCAACAATTGATGTTTTCCTATATTTATTTATGTTATTATTTCTCAAATATAGTTGAGATAATAATGAACTTTTTAATTTTTCTGATTTTACTTTTTAACATAAATACCTTAAGACATTTGTACAATCATATTCACCACCAATTCCAGTTTCTATGATTGCAACATTCACTTTTTCTTGTATAAACATTTTAAATGCCATTATAGTTAAAAACATAAAATAAGGTGGTAATTTTTCTCCAGAGCTCTGTAATTTTAAACAACAGTAAAACTTAAAACAATATTATAAATAATTTTTTTTTTTTATTATTATTATTAGCTTTTTGTAAATATAATTAATACATTTTATATACAATACTTCTGTTTAAAATAATTGTTTTTATAACCTAAAAGTATTGTATTATAGAAGAACTTACTTGTTTAGATAATATTGAATTATATACATTCCAAAAATAAAACACAAATTTATCTTCAGAAATAACTTTCCCATCAATGCGAAATCTTTCCTTGACAGTTATCAAGTGTGGAGAAGTAAATAAGCCAGTATGATAACCTTTATATGACAATAGTTGTTCACAAAATACACATGTTGATCCTTTTCCTTTGGTACCAGCAACATGAATTACTGAAAGTTGGTCCAAATCTTCATTACTCACACCGCATCTGTTTTCATTTATAGCCTTCAGAACAATTTTAATTAACTATTCATGCCAAAAAGAATACTACCAAATTGTACTTAAATACATTAAATAGTTGTGTGCTATTTACCTATTTAAAAATATGTTCACCTGTCCTAATTGGGCTTTTCCTGGATGACGGGTAAGTTTGGAAGTAATGCTTTGCAAAGAGTTCAACATTTTAACAGTGTTCTAAAATATAATACAAAAATTATTATGAAATTGATGGAAGTTAAAATATTTTGATAAGTGCCCAAGAAAATTAAATCAAAATATTTGTGTAAATTATACATTTATATTCATAAATTAGATTTGTTAAAAGACCTACATCCAACATATTACAATAAAGATAACTCATAGGCAAAATACATTTACTAAAATTCATGGAAGTTTATTAATTTAAATTGTGTACACTTCTGATAAAAATACAGCTCATCTATAACCATTATATTTAGGGAACAAATTTATATGCAAATGCATTTATATATTGGACTGTTTCTTTTTAAATCTGATAAGAGTTATCCCTGATTTAGATCATTCTTATTAAAATAACATTAATTTTACTTTACATATTTTGCATATTTCATGCATATAGTAGTTTTATGGTGCATATTTTTATTTGTAGCACATATATTTGTTTTACCTTATATTTTCACGTTCAAAATCACATAATATTGATAAAATGAAAACCATTCGTTATAGCCAAAAATACAATAACATACTCATAATATGAGTATGTTACATATTATGTAACATATGAGTATATACAAATTATATTAATATAGAAAAATTCATATGATAGAGTTGTACACTTGAACTTGATGGAATTATGGAAACCAACCAATCTGTACGTGCATTCGTGCATATATTATTACGAATAAAACTGTTGTAGTTTTTGTGTCTATTGATTTTTTTTTATTATTCATTTATAGCTTTAAAATGCCTAAAGTAAAAACATTAATTAAGGATGGTTTACAGACATACGTAAACAAGTATAAAGATATTTTTAAAACCAATGGTTCAATTTTGTATTACAATATTTAAATATATAATTAATATATATATATATAAATACATATATATTAATTGCAGATGCAATATCCCATTAGCTTCATTTAACTTCTTTTCTATATCTAAGACAATATTTATACATTTTGTCAACTATCTAACTGTCTGCAGATCAATAATCTATAAATTTAATAAATTAAATAACTAAGCCGAAAACAATAATAATCCAAAACAACCAAATAGTTTGTATTCCGGGTTTTCACATTTGTTATTAATTAAATAAAAAAAATTTTATTACTAAAGTATAATAAACATAAAAATTCTACAGCTGGAATAACTGAAAAAGCAATAAAAAAGCAAAAATAAATTGGTTTATTCGGAAAAAGAAAGATGTAAAACAAATTTTAATTCAAAAATTAGAGTTCTATCTCATATATAAAAAAAATAAGCATTTGTTTTAAAATCCGAGCCCTAGTTATTAGCAATGTTAGCTTAGGACATTGTTCAACAGGTGTGTAATTAATAATGTAAATAATATGCACAAAGCGCATTAAATAAATAAATAACCTAAAAATCAGATATTGGTGTACCAAAAATGCATGGTGTATTTGTAATTTTGATTTCTTACATCGTAGGATTGTTGACCACCGCCATCGTTGATATAACTCATTTTCCTTCTGTTGACAGTAATTGAGTTATAAGACCAGATACTTTTCATAAACGATTTATTGCGCACTGACATCTCACTCATTGAGCAATTTAGAATAAAAGGATTACGAAATAAAAGATTAACTTAACAGTTAAAATTAACAATTAACTGATAAATTAATTAGTGCTGTACTTTGTAATTATAATGTTTATCTGGTTATCCATACGCTCTTAAATTTAATATAAAAAATAAAAAGGGCGGGACTGGCGGAACTCGTTATAGGTTATGGATTTAACATTTTTAGAACTTATTATCGTCTTTCAGTATTTTAGGAAACCACGGACGTCAGTGCACAGAATAGATTAAATCATGAATTTATCTATTCTGTGGTCAGTGTAATCTAAATATTAGATATCATATAGTTTATCTTTATGTTTATTTTATTTTCGTAGAGTGTTGTTGTCGCCTCGTTACATCGTAGCGTTGCAATAGCATAGCAATATAGTATTATTATTCTGCGGTGATTACCACAGAGGCAAAAAAGTCCATGGACAAATAAGTTGCTCAATACTAAATTGTGCATTTCAAAAATATTTTAATTCGCTCTTGATTAAACCGTTTAAATATTCATTAGTACGCTACTGCGCGTTGTAAATCAATCAATAATGGATAAAAAACGAAAATGCTTTAAAAAAGGAGACACAATTTTAATTGATAAACCATTTGTCCACGCTCTGAGATCTACTTTTAAAAATGAAAAATGCGATAACTGTTATTCTGAGTAAGTAATTATTATATGTGGATTTTGTGCTCCACATTTTATTACAATCAAAATATTCTGTATTAGAGCTAGTTTATCCAGATGTTCGGGCTGTCAGTATGTTCTCTACTGTAGTCGTGCTTGTCAGAAGGTATCGTGGAGGGAACATAAACAAGAATGTGCTAGAATGAAAAAAATTTATTCTAAAGTTTTACCAGATGCAGCAAGAATTATGTCAAAAATATTAATTAAACTTAAGGTTCTGATTAATTTTTATTTAAAATATTTTAAAATATTAATTTTATTTAATAATATTAATATTTAGAATGGAGGGATTTCAGAAAAAAGTTATTATACATCTAATCGCTACAGAACGTTCAAGGATCTTATGTCGCGTAATTTAATTTTTTTAAAAATTGTTTTTTTTTTACAAATTTAAATCTTATTAAAAATGTTATATTTCAGACTATCCTAGCCTTAAAGAAGATAGTCGTAGATTAGAACATTTTTCTACTCTCTATGAAGTCTTAAAAGAGTACATGGGTGAAACAAACCTTCCTAATGCCATAGAATTACTTGGAATCTATGGTCGGGTAAGTAAAACAGTTAATATTTATTATCTAATATTTTTTTTAAAACTGGTTTACAAAGGAAATATAATAACAATAGTATACGTTTATTTAATATTTATTTATATTATTTATATATTTATATTTTTTTATATTTTATATTCATATTATGTTATTATAGCATTCATAATATCTATAAAATATCCATAATAATAAATGAAAAAACTATATAAAAAAAATAAAAAAATAATATCGAAGTAGATAAAAATACAAATTTTAAATTGACAAGGGATATACTTTTTTTTTTACAGATGTGCATAAATGCCTTTAATATATTAGATGATAATTTAAATACTATTGGATCCGGCATATATTTAGCAGCATCAGTATTAAATCATTCATGTGTCCCTAATGCGACTGCAACATTTGATGGTGTTGAATTAAGAATTGGTGCTATTATGGACATTGATCATACTGATCCAGAATTGGTAACTAGTAGTTTTAAGTTGTTTTTAATTTTGCTCTGAATTATAAATATTAAATAAAATATTGTAGTATGTGTTTATATCATATTTGGAACTCATGCAAACTACTAAAGAACGGCAAAGTGAATTACAAAAGAATTATTATTTTTTGTGTGAATGCAAGCGTTGTACGATAAATTATGAACAATATTTTATAAATTCTATGATATGCACTAATGCGAAATGTCAGAGTGCAATTCCTATTAAAAACCAACAGGCAGAGGTGAGCTTGATTTAATTGGTCTAAATTTATTTTTTAATTATATGTGTAAAATACATACATTTTAATTTGTAATATTTTAGGTCTCAGATACGGTTAATTGTTTAAAATGTTTAGAAAAAATCAGTGAAGATAAAGTTAAAATGTTTTTTGATGTGACCGATTTTACAGAATTTCATTTAAATAAAATGAAAGATATTGGTTGTATCCTTTTTATAAATATTATCTTGTATTTCAATTAATTCATTTTGTTTAGAAGTTTATTAGTATACTCAAAAATGTAACTATTGTTTATTTTCCATTGATCTTAATAGATCTTGATGTTTGTAAAATGTGTCTAGAAAAGCAAAATGGAATTTTTCATCCCAAAAATATTAATCATATTAAGATATTGGATTTAGCTTTTGAAAGTGCTATAAAAATGGAACAATGGAAAGAGAGTTTGAAGTATGGAATTCTTTTAATTGATGGATATAGGTAAATTCCATTTACTTAAAAATATTAAATAAAATAATAAAACACAACAAAAATTATCTACACCATTTTATTCCTGTATTATTATTTGATTTTAATTCTTAAAAAAATCATCATAATCTTTTGTCCTTTTTGAGTTTTTGATAAGATTTTAACTTTTTAATTATATTCTCTACAGATTATCTGATCTTTTTGACTCTTCTGAAATTAAAGTTTTAATATTTTTAGAATAACAAAAAAAAAATGTTTCTTACCTTTTTTATTGCATTTAATAATTAAATGTTTTTTTACATTTTTGAATACTAAAGGACTTATTGTTTTTCAATTTTTTTTTATTAGTCAAAAATAGACACTCCACATTTACAATATAATTAAGACATATTGCATTAGGCGCGGCTTCAGAGACTTACCAGGAGGGGGAGGTCATTTTAAGTATTAACTGATAATAGTTGTTTCCCCAAATTAGTACTGAAACATAGAATCTGACTACATTCCTGTATTATGATACACACCTCATATTTATGTCATAATATAAGTTTTTTAGGCAAAATAAAATTATTAGGTAAGTATCTAATTAATTAATTGGGATCTTATAATTCACAAAGACAAAAATGTATTTAAAAATTTAAATGTTTTAAAAGCCTTAGGAGACATGGCCCCAGTGCCTCCCCCTTGGAGCTGCGCCTATATAACATAAATGTATATAGTATATAATATTGTTACTGTAATAGTTGAAGAATTTTCTGAAGTCTGTTAACAGATATTAAGTACCTTCAAGAATTTTTTAATTTTTTTCTAAAATTCTGTAGCATTTTTTTAAAAAAAAAAATGTAGTATTTTAAAAACTAATTTGTATTGCTACGAAGTATGATACAAAATATTTTTAGTTCTAGCATAACCGTAAAAAAAAATAGAAATTAACTAAAATGTATAGCTCACATATATCTTAACTAAAAAAAGATACAAAACATTTCATACTGAAATTATAATCATGATTATTACACTGTTAAATTTAATGTTAAGCAAAAAAAGTAAGCAAATGCTTAAAATCTTGAACCTGGATATAATTATTTTAACAGTAAAAATCTATTTTTAAATGAAATGAAATTAAAATTAATGCTGGATTTTAATTATTTAATTATTTTAAATACTTATTAAACATGAACACTATTTAAATGTTTTTATTTTAATCCTGTATTGATTTAAAAACTAAAATAATGATTGACATATCTTACATTTGTACTGATTTTGTTGTTAATTAGTTTTATTGTGTTTCATCATTATATTATCAATTATTATTAATAGGCATTTCTCTTTAGATTAAATTAAATGGGTAATGTTAGTTTTATATTGGAATGAGTTTATTATTTTATTATCCATTTAATCAATTTTACTTAATGTGTTAGTTACAATAAGAACTAAATATTCTATATTGAACACTAATCATATATTAAGATTAATTATAATTTTTTATTAATAAATCTTTTTTTTCAGGGTTTATTATGGTGAATGTCATCCATCTTTAGGTATCTTATACATGAAATTATTTAAAATATGTTCTATTGTTGAAAATTCTGAAACGGCGGTAAAATATTTAAAAAAAGGAATGTCTATACTAAAAATAACTCATGGAGAAGATCATAGCTTATACAAAAATGAAGTTATTCCATTTTATAAAGAATTAATACAATATTTTTAAGTATTTACCTTGAAGATAATGTTAAAGTTTTCGTACTTGATTTTATACAACTAATGTTAGTAATATTTATATATATATATATATTATGTATGTATTTACCGTGTTCGTCATAAAGAATATTTACCATGTTAATAGGAATTCATTCTACCATGTTTTTAAGTATATTATTTTGATAATATTTTCTTGTTATCACTAATTTATTAGATAACACAATTGTGAATTGTACAAAATGAAAATTTCTGTAACTTGATCTAAGTGTTGTCAGTATTATACATGTTTATAAATTAACTCTTATTAAAATGTTCCTTATTATTATAGTTTCTTTTAATATACGTAATTTTAAATCTTATTTCTTATTAATGAGTACTTATGCCTAATGATTTTTACATTTTTAAGTAATGAGTACAATGCCTATTTTAGCTTTATATAACACATTAATTTTATTTTTTTCTATTTGTGTAGTGTATTATGAATCTTACACATTTAAAAATTATATTTTTATACTTATAATATGAGTTGGTTCAAACGCAGTAGAGGATTTGAAAAAATTGACAATCTCGATTTGTCTGCATGTTTCGATAGTTTTAACAAACACTGGCAGCAAACTTTTGAAATAATTGAGCGGTTTCAAGTGAGTATTTAGAAGCTTTAACTAAAAATATGGAATTCACTTTTCTTAGTAATAATTTGGATTACTGTATTTGTCATTGTTACATATTGTAATATCAAACATGTTAACGCATCGTAATTAGTTATATGTTTTAAATGTTTACTCATCACCAGGGCTCGGAAGTTGTAGCACTAAAAATATTACTTTTTAGCTCTTAAATATGCACTTAAATACTCATAAATATGCGCTATAAATAGCACAAAAAATCAAAAAAATATGCATTTAACATGAAAAAAATGTAATTCTACAAATTGTTAGGCTCATAAGACACAGTCTGGATTGATTGAATTATAGAATATTAATAAAAATGTACTTATTATTAAATTTATATATTTATCTTGATCATTATCCTAGATTATTAAAATGTTGATAATCTAATGCAATGATATAATAAGGGAATAACAATGACGTCACTAACTATTGATAATAAATTAATAATAAACATAAAATAATATTTAATGAAGTTATTTATTTCCTATAATTAAAATATTTTTAAAAACATAACCAAGTAAATACAATTATGATCAACAAAATTTGATTATTTCCTACATTATGTGAAAATATAACCGAAAATAGCAATATAAACACTAAATTAGCAAAAAAAAGCAAAATTAAATTTTGTGTATGATATCCGAGCAGTGAGAAACATATTTGTTTCTTTGGATGTTCTAGGATGAACCAAGAAAAATATGCATTTGCTAGAACTTCCGAGCCCTGCTCATCAAACAATATTGGGCCCAATACAATACATAAAATATTGATAAACACTATAGCACAAAGTATTTTTCATGTTTTATCAAAAATACCCAAATCTCTATTTGAAATTATATATTTCCAAATATCTTAAAGAAACCTTATATAATATAAAGAAAAAAGATTATGAGTCATAACATTTTTTAAAGAAACCAAATATTTTAAAACAGTATTATACACTAACGGTCGCCAATCAGTTGTCTGTGGACCACTGGTGATCCACCAGAAAATTTTAGTTGACAATTTTGAACATTATTTGAAATTTTATTAACTTCCAGTTTACTGATTGACGACGATAGAGATATGGTGGATAGCACTAATATTATATAATAATGCAATAATTAATAATGATTTAAAAAATAAAATCCTTTATTATTATTATTATTATTATTAATGTGTTTTATTTATTCGATATCAATAGACAGCATTTATGAAAAAAAGTTCCAAATTCAAAGTCTCCGAATAATAACTTAAGACATTGCAGTATAAACACAATATTATTTATATTAGTCTGTAGAATTTAGAGTTATGGATATAGTGGTCCATGAAGCATAAAAAGTTGGCGAGGCCTGGTTTATATAATCAAATATTTCATTAGTTATATGTTAATATAATACCATAATAATAATAAAGTGCTTTAGATGTATTCTAAAATAAATAATTATAGGTATTTGTATATTATGTACCATTCCATACATATGACAAACCTGTAACCACTTAAAAAAAATAAAAAATATAGTTAATTACTATTTTATTAAAATTAAGTACAATTTCCCTAAACTTAAAAATTGAGTTGTCAAATTGAATTTATTCTCAAATGTATGATTAATGTTTGTTCATTAAACTATGGTTGGGGGGGGTTAATGATAAATATAATAAAATAATTGTGAAATACATTAATTTACACAATGGATTTTCTTAAATTATTAATATTGAAAACAATAGTATTAAGTGTAAATTAAAAATTTTTAGTGATTTTAGGGTTGTTATGATTAAATTGTTCATGAACTTTGTATTATTAATTATTGGTTAATATCCCCACAAGGATTTACAAATAATCTGTATTTTGTTGAGTTATTTAGTAAATCTTGTATATTTTTTCTTGATTGGTTAATATATAAAATTAATTAATCTACATAACTAAAATTATATTCAAACTAAATGAATCTAAACAATTTAAAGTTTAAATATAATTTTTGAATTCTTCTAAATCAAGTTTCAAAACATCAACCAAACAAAAGTTATATAATATGTATATATGTGTATATTATATTGTTTTGATTCTCTTGGTATATACATTTTCATTATTTTTCCTCTATATCAGTCTTATATGTGTGGTGATCCAGACTGAGCTTTTGATCTATTTGATTTTATTGTACATAAATCTATAAGTCACCAACTGCACCAAATTGTGTTGTGTGCCGTCAATACAACATTTTAGACAAAGGATGTGTGTTAGGATATTCCAAATAACTACTCAATTTAAGTTAAACTGTTATTTATTGTGAATATTTTTAAGTACAAAACATTTAATTAATTAGACAAATAAACTGGCATGAAAATACATACTATGACTGAACTATAATACATCTGACTATTTGTCTGTTGGGGACTACCTTATATACCTTGTACCTGTGAAAGAGATTGTTACTCTTCCAAAATATTACAATACTTAACCCGGACGTTATTCGATTACGTTAATACAAAATATCTAACATCCGAATTCTTCATATTCTTTTTAACATTATATTGTTGTTTCATCTCTCCCAAATATAAATTATAGAGTTTTGATTTATATTTTATTACTATAAACCCTTGGATTATATATTATGTTTGGTTGGCCTTGTTATATATTACAAATTATATATATTAGTTGGTTAATTAGTTTGTAAATTAGTTATACATTAATGATAAATTTTTACAAACAAATAGTATTGGTTAATAATAATATTATTATTATATTTTTGTTCAAAACTTGTTTTTTAGACATCAAAAGGTGTTATTAGGTATGATGATATTGTAGCTGTTATAAATCATTTAAATCAATTGATAAAACTATTATTACTTGATGTACAATCATCAAAGTCAACCAATCAATCACGATGTCTTGAATATTTTTTGAATAATCAACTACTTGGAAAATTATACTCATGGAGTTTAAAAACCGATCGGTAAGTATATAGATTAAAACTTATCAATTAGTTTTAAACACAAATAATAATAGTCTTTATGAGTTTTTAGGTACAAAAGTTATTTGAAACTGGAACAACTAAAAGTTTATGGTGTTCTTTTGTCAGAATTTCGAGGCCATCAATTACTTTCTGATGATTCTATATTAAATCCTTTATTATTAATTTTAAACTCATATGATGGTGATTGTTTATCTGTAGAAATTGAAAAACATTTGGTAACTGTATTAAGACAATTTTGTGTAGTTCTTTCCCATCATCCAAGTATATTGAGCAATGTTTTAAAAGAGAATACTAAAAATTCAAAGTAATAATTTACTTTGAATTATTTTAATCGATTGATTAATTTCATATTTTCTTTTTAGATGTATTATATTATCATTATTAGTGGCATTTATACACCGTGATGGGTCCATTGGTGAAGAAGCTCGTGATGCTCTTTTAATATTTGTATCATTATCTCGTCAAAACGATATACTAGCTAATATTATAACATCTAAATCAAATGTAAGTCCTGTACTGGCAACTGGTTTGAGCGGTTTATATTCAGTATTACCTCGAAAATTAGAAATTGAAAATGATTGCTACAGACTGAGTCCAGAAAATATAGAAGATGTTCCAGAACTAAATAATTTTTTAGCTTCTGTAGAGCTGTGTAATGCTGTTGCTAAAATATGTCATAAAACTGTGTATGATCAACTTTTAGATTATTTATATCATGGGTTCCTTTTACCAGTTGTTGGGCCAGCATTGATGCAGGTAAATTTAGTAACTTTAATTTATCTAATTAAGTTTAATTTCTAGGATTCTATATTATTAAAAGATATGTAAGTAGGTTTATTATAAATAATTGATTTTTAATTAATAAAATAAAATATTTTTATAATATATATATATAATTTCTAAACTAATAATAAATAGTTAATTATAGTTTAGAAATTAGATTTAATAATCATACTTTTTTAAAAAATTAACATTGTTAACTTATATTATTAACAATAATACAAACTTTCTGCTTATTAATAATTAACAAACATAAGTCATAAATATATAGGAATGGTGAAAGTCAATTTTTTTTCCATATGAAAAAAAAGGTCAAAATGTAAGATAGAAATTAAGAATTTTATTGGGTATTTATAAAAATGCTTGTAATAAGCTTAAATCCAAATTTCTACTATAATTTATTAAGTCTTAAAAAATTAAAAAATTCATAAATAAAAGGATTCATGTGATCGAATTATTTTAATAATAAAAATGAATGCTTAGTAATCTTATTCATAGTATATTCTTTTGTATTAAACTCTACAATTGATTTTGCTGTTTCACATACTATCTCTACTCTTTTTCGTTACCATTAAACCTTTTAATTTAATAGAATATTTTAATCTTATATTAGAAATAATTTCTTTTATATATAATGGTACAATGTAAACATTGACCCACCATGTACATAATATTATTCAATGTAATCATATTTCGTTAAAAAGGTGTTTCCAATCTTGCTCCATCGCCCTTTTTTTTTTTTGAATATTATAGTATTTACTATGATATTAAAAAAAAAAAAAAATTACTGTTTACAAAGATATTTAAAAATGAAATATTAATTAATTTACTTACATTTTTCAAAAGTTACTGATTGGCTGATAAAAGGCTGATAATAATAAATTGCCTTTATATTTGGAATTTACACAACACTTATTATTTATCCTGCTTTTTATTTCCTTTAGTTGATTACTATAATTTCAAAAAAATACCTTATTATGTTTTATATTTATTTTATAACATTTTAATATTGAACAATCTTTTTCCAAGTATTTAATTCTAAATAATTCTTTAATAACAAAAAGACTTATAATTAATTTAATTTTTAAAATGTTACTTATATAGAAACTTATGAAATTGGTTAATAAATAAAGGAAAATATCAATATATATGTATATATTTATATGATTATTTGTAAAAAATAATTGATGCAAGTTTTAATTTATGTAAAATAAAATGCTTTTATTTTGAATTGGTTAATAGCATTTTCTATGACAGGAATATTCCACTAGAAATATTTGGTTTTCAATTATTGTCAAATAGAATATTACCTATTTAATAATAATTGAAAGAAATATTTATTTCTAATATATTTAAGAAATATTTATGTGAATATTCAAACTGACTCTAAATTAGTATTGTAGTTGAAGTTCAAAATAGGGAGGGGATTTAAAATTATAACGGATATAAATACTATATTATTTTTTTAATAATAAGCTATAACTTAAAACCATAATTAAATTATCATGAATAAAAAATTCCAGGTGTTCACACCCTTACCACTGTTCTAAACAAAACTTAATACAAATAACTTTTAATCCCTATTAAATGAATCATTTTATAAGTAATTTAGTTAGGTATTAATTACCTATTTAGTATTCTTAAAAAGCTTTCATTAAATTTATTTAATTTTAGTAATTAACTCATTATACGAGTATTTGTCTGCCTTTAAAAAAATACTTAAAATAGTTTAATGTTCATTCTAATCCAGTTGGAAGTGTGCATAAATCACTAAGTATTGTGTATTATATCAAGGAACAATATTTATAGTTTTTTAATAAAATCTCATTTATTATGAGAATAATTAATTACAACATTACTGATTAATCTTTTATCTGTAAATCATTTTGTAAATAGCTTTTAAAATTTTTAAGCTCAATTCAATTCATTTTTTTTTATGCTTATTTCTTTTTAGGACTTTGAAAATAATTGCAGTTTCAATACACATTTATCATGGGTAACATTTGTTTAATGTGATTTGATTCTTTGCATGATACTAGATTCAAAATTTTATTTGTTGCATTTTCATTTTTATTTATTATCTAGTTTATTTGCATGTTAAAAAAAAAAAAAAAATAATATGTTATTAAATTTGTTCTGTATCAATATTATTCTAATAAATTCATCTACTAAAGAAGCAAATTTATACGCTTATAAATAAAAAATAAGTTTACATAACAATATATTAATTTGGCTTATTGGAATAACGTAATACCTAAATGAGCTTATTGTATTTTAAACTTTTATTTTCTCTACAATTTCTAATATAATTTTTATTTTTTATTAAATTTTTTTTCGAATTCCTTACAATTGTTTTGAATTTTTTGAATTATTTTTAAAGTAACTGTTGTTAATGAGAATATTTATTTACATTTTATAAGCTTATTGGTGGATGATATATCAATTTAGGTACACAAAAAATATTGTACATGAAAAATCTATTTATAATCTGTAATATATTGCTATCTATTAAAAATTATCAGTAGGTATCTTACTATTTCCAATTTATTAAGGAAATATATTTATAATTAAGTATTATTTTATTTTTAAATATATATTATTCACTATTAAAAATTGTGGTACTAATAGTTTTAGTACTAAGAGTCACATTAAGTCTAATAATATTTTGTACTTTTTTTTTTCTTTGCTTTTTATGGGTTATAACAACAAAATGTATGATATAATCTTTTCACTGTGATTTTCAATGTATACAAAAAAAAAAATTAAATAATATTTTTTTTATGTAAAAGATGTATAATTTCCTGAAATAAAGCCCTAAATTTGAGGTTTCAGAAGATCAAAAAATCATAGTATAAATTGTTTGACCTTTTAAGTCAGCAAGAGGAATCATCTGGAATTGTTATTTTTTCTCAAAATGGAAATTTAATTTAGTATTAAATATTTTGTATCAAATTATTACGTTTTTAAAATAATAATTGGGTTATACCATAATGCTGAAGTTATTTGATGGTCGAAAACTGTTTAAAAAGTTTTTTTAAATATATATTTTATAACAATACATTTGCATAGATTTTTCATGGATATTAAATGTACATTTTATATAAGTTTAAAATTCTAAAAGTTGAATAAAATTTTACCATAAATATATTTTATATATTTACAAATTATTAAACTTAAGTTCTTTAAAACTATTTTTGAAGAATGAAATCTTATTGCCATTGGTGTTTGTATGTTATTATTTTATTTGAATTTTATTTATCATTTATTTTTTATGCTTGTACTGTACTGTTTCAATTGGTTTCATTAATACATTTATTGATCCTCTTTACATCAGTTTTCTAGAGACATTTAATATTTATTGTTTAGAAAAAATGCCTGCTTATTTGTTACATTTAGTCATTATATGTTATATGACATTGCATTATGTATGTTTTTAAATGTAAAAATGTGAAATATTCTACATATTATTAATATACTACTTAATACTTGAACTAAAATTTATTTATACCTTATAATCAAGGTTTTAAATCTGAAGTGACTAAAAATCATTGAAGTATCCAAACTAATGTTGAATTTTTGTACTTAAAAGTAAAAAAAACTCAAAATGAGGTTAAAATACAGTATTCATAAATTCTAATAAGTACTTTAAAATTCAAATTTAAAACCTTGCTTATAAAGATGTTTTAAAATTATAAAATACATACTTTATTTTAATTTTTTAGGTAGCTGAAGAAGAAGTAGCCACAGCTACAATTTACTTAGATTTATTGCTACGTAGTGTTACACACCCAGGACTTCTACAGACATTTATAAAATTTATATTGTGTCAAAGATTTGAAAAAATTAAAATTATTGAACTTCTTGTAAATCGAATTAATAACAAATCTTTTAAGGTATTATTAGTGTTATTATATTTAATTAATACTTGGGTTATTATATTTATTCTAATTTTATAATTTTCAATAATACTTTTTTAATATTTGAATTAGTGATGAGTTAAGAAAACCAACATTTTAATAAGCATGAAAACACTTGAATGTATTGTAAGTTCAGTCAGTATTACTCTCAGTTAAAATACACATACTGATAATGATTTCATAAGTGAATACAGTAGCGTAGATACAATTCTTTTCTGGGGGGGGGGGGGGGGTTTAAGAGTAAGTTTTTAAGTGTTCATAGTATATCTTAAAACGAGATCATATATAATATTACATTTAAAATAGTGTTATTATGTCCCGTATTAATGAAAATTATTTTGTTATTCAATTTTTAATATATACCTAATCATAGTAAAATTAAAATATTTTACTATAATATATAAATATTAATAAATAATAATCAAATATCATTAAAAAAAAAATCTGTGGGGAGGGGTGGAAACCCCTTACACCCTCCCTGTAACTACGCCACTGAGTGAATACAATTTATTTAATTATTATTTATTATACAAATGTCTTCATTTTTATATAATAATATATTTATATATAGAGGATACAAATGTCAAAAATTTCTTACAGAATTTAGCACAAGAAAATACTTGAGTGTTCTTTTGATACTTTGTATTTTTAAATAGAAAATCACATAATAAGTACTTATATATTTTATAACTTGTTACGTATATATGTATATTTAGTTAGTACACTTAATAATAAAGAGATCTACTAAATATTTTGTTTTTTTAAGGACATAACCACATGATTTTGTTAATTTTATGAAGACATTAATAAACATTATATTTTTATATATTTTCTTATTAACATTAATAATCATTATTATGGGATTTTATTTTACATTTTTAATTTTATGTATGAATTCATAACTTTAATATTACTTATCTTTTTTCAGGTTTGTATTGCTACTCTTGCTTTGATGGAAACAATTTTAGATTTAAACTGTGAAGATGTAATGTTAGAACTAGTTCTCAAATATTTAGTGCCTTGTACACACATTATGCTTAGTCAACGTTCACGAATTAAACAAGTTGATTCCTATTGTAAATCTGCTGATATATTTTTATCCTTAATGCCAGATGTATTTAAGTATGTACCATACGTTTTATAACTTAATCATTTTTATAATATTTTTAAATTATTTTTAGGCATAGAAATATTAATTCTCAAACTTTATATTCTGAATATCGATGTTATTTAAATTGTGCACGAATTAAAATAGCTGAATGCGCTATTGAAACTAAACATTGGACATATTTATACGATGGAGAAAATCCATCTTACACAATTGGTAAAAATATTAATAAAAACTTCTTTTGTTGTTAATAAAATGTGACTTGATTTATTGTGTATGCATATTTTCTTATTTTAATGAATTCACTAAATCTTTATTTTACATATAGTTATGGTAATTTAAAAACTATTAATGAGTTTAACATTTTTAATTGTATTGCATTTTGTTTATACAATCAACACTTACATTTATTTCATGTTTTTTGTTTTAGTTGAATTTAAAACCAATGATGTAGAAAATGATCAAAACAGCATTTTATCAGCTGATGATAGTTCAAGTGGATATGAAAGTTTTAAAGCTATGAAAGATATTGACAAGTATTATAAAAAAAAAATTTGTTTTGTTTTAAATAAGGGTTTGTCATTCTTTATTTTATGTTCACAGATTGCTTGGAAATGATGATGGTAAACCAAGTGATGATATTTTCTCAAACACTTCTTCACCGTGTGAAAGCGACTCACCTACTTGCTTTATAAGGCAATCTGCATTCAAGACAAAAGAACCATTTACGCAATACCCTTGTTTGGGTAAAATTTATTGATAAATAACAGTATTAATTTGTATTTTATGTTATTTACTTTTTAAATATTTTGTGTCTAGGTCCATTTCTTGAGGCTTTATTTTCAAAACTAGAAAACATGCCAGAACAAGATTTTCGAATCAATTTACGTTTAACTGCTGTTATAACTCGTCTATCTGTATATAACAAACCTTTGATTCAATCATTATTGCTCAATCATTCTATGATCTTCCAACCATGTATTCGTTCTCTATTTCAAGTAAGACCCTATAAATTATATTATGGTTATAATTTTTATATTGGTTATATAAATCTATATTTATTATTTTTAGATATTGCGTTTTTTAAAACAGACTATTGAAATAAAATTAAGTGGCCGCATAGAAAAGATTATTGAAGCTGAAGCTTTTTTAATTGAACGAGAAAATAAACTTAGCAACACCCAAAATAATCGCTCAACTAGTGGTAAAGTATCTGAACCATTTTTTAGAGGTAAATATCATTTTGAAAAATGATTGTTTTAAGTATATGAATCATAATAAAATATACAATATATGACTGGGTTTTTAGGTGAACCTAAACGACGTAGTATATCTGTAGCATTTGGAGCAATGTTTAAAAGAAATTCTGGGCATAAAGACGCTATATTAGAATCAACTACCAATGGCTACAGGTACGGTTTTCAACACTGTCAATTTTTAATTCATATTTATAATTGTTATATAATTATGTATATACATTGATTTAGGTATTATAAAGAAAATAAAAAAGAAAATGAATCCCTCGACTTGCCAATTAATGCAATAATATTGGCAGAATGGCTTAAGGAATTGTCAGCTATTTGTCAAGAACACGCAATTAGTTAGTACATATAAATAAATTCAACGAATTATTATTATTTGTACTATTAGCAATTATGAATAAATATATTTTTACTTCGGACTCATCATATTTTATAAGTATTAAACGATTTATTTAAATGTTTTGCTCAAGCTTATTATTTTATTCAAAGATCTGTGAATTATTTATAACTCATTTTTATTATTGAATTAGATTGTTATAGTAAATGAAAGGAAATATTCCGTCCAAATTTTAAATTTGCATTGTATGTATTTTGAACTGTTATCATACATTTTCAACCCAATAGATTTTTGTACTTAATATTAAAATGCAAACCAATTAGATGGATCTTCCAAATAATAATATGTTTTAATTTAAATTTTTCATAAAATATTTTCAAAGTTACTTTGACTTAATGTAATATGAATTAAAAATATCATTCAATTTATTTATTTTTTTTAATATGTAGTAAATTATAAACTGGAGATTTTGTCTTCCAAAATAATTTTAAAGTCTAAAGATCTTCGTCATAGATTTTCTTACACTTATATTAAATATTTGTTCTCCAGTTACTGTATGATGTTGTAAGTACATTTTTAAGTGTACAAATATTTATGATGTTATATGTATATATATATATATATGTTTATTGATGTTATTTTATACTAGAAAATATCAAGAAAAATATAATCATAATGTAAAATTAAATAAATCTTATGTTCTTTAATTACAAGTACAAAATATACCAAAACTAATTCAAAATATTACATAAGATCTGATAATAATTTTGTACTGATTTTTTTTAAAATAGTTTTTAACATTTATCATCATCTTTAAGGAATATTTTTAGTGTTGCTTCCTAGTAGATTGTTATTTTGTTTTATTTCTAGTTACCCGTTTTATATTACACATAACAATTAATATATTGTTTTTATTATTTTCTCAATTTTTAAAATTAAGTGATTATTTTTTTAGTACTTATAACCATAATATACTTCTGTTTTGTTTGTAATATTATATACATTTATAACTTTGTATTATGTATGATCTTGCCATTTAGTTTCTGTAATAGTTGATATATGTATTGTATAGGTAAGATTTAATTGTTTGAGTAATTTAACTCGCATTCGTAAATAATATATTTTATTTTTGTTTTATTTATCTAAATATATAATAATGTGTTAAAATATTAAAAATAAAATAATAATAAAATATTAATCGTTGTAACATGTAACTAGGAAACATTAGCGTGCTAAAAGTGCAGATTCAGGCAGGGTTTTGAATGCGTTAGGTGAATTAAACTTTGACCCTAGATATCTTGGTATGGATGACTTGCGTTGAGAAGGTGACTGAATCCGACTATTTGGCGGTGCTGGCGATGGTGTTCGATTTGAAGGTAATGAGACTCGAACAACTGGACGTCCAGGAGTTTGGCATGGGTCGTGACGTGTCAAAAAGTTTTCTAGTGTATCCCATCCTCCTCCAACTCGCACCATCATGTGTGTTCCTTTCAATAACTTTTGAAAAAAAAAAAAACAAATATAAGAAAAAAAATTCACAAATGAGTACTTAGTAAATATTTATATCAAAATGTTTCTTTCTATAAAAAAAAAATTATTTATTTTAAAAAAGAATAACTACTCTAATAAAGACATTTCGACCGTGTATATTGTATCTTCCTGATCCTATTTTTTTCAGTTTTAATTTTTTTCCCTGACAATGACATTGTGCAAGTGCCTGCCGACTAGCTTGTTTTACCTATAAAATATTTTATAATACATTATAAAATATAGTAATATATTATCGATTTATTTGAGTTCGCCCTAGTAAAGTTTAATAAAAAATTACAATTGTATACAAGTTTTTTTTTTTAATTACTTTGTAATCAAGTTCACTGAAGTTATTGCCACCTTCAATCGTATAATCATCATCAGTAGTGTCCGACTCAGATTTCAAAGTAGTCATAGATGCTGCTCCAAGGCTCTCAGTTCTTCTTAATTTACTCACAGACCTTATAGCCATTGGTATTGCACTCGTTGAGCTAAGTATTTTATTTAAATGAAACTTTATTTATTTATATAAACATGAGTAATGTAAAAAACAAACCGATGTCGAATATTTGGTATAGATATTTTTGTGCTGGAACTAACATTCTGGTCTCTGGCTTCCTCAGCATCAATTTCTTTTTCCATTTGTACCAAACCCGGTGGTTCCAAACCAAACCGGGAAGCCAAACGAGACACTTCCATTAAGCATAAAACGACATTACGAGGTTTATTCTGCAAAACTATGTTTGGAAAATATTTAATAATTGCTCTAATACATAAATATTTTACAAATTAATTAAAAATATATGTAAATACCTAGATCGTCGCTTTCAAACAAAAGATGTTGGTGTACACCCAGACGTCGACAAAACTGAATAAATTTTTCTGTATTATCTCTTGAAAAAAAACTGTGCCTTGCAGCGGATTCGAAACACCGTGAAGATATTGTCGGTAAATCCTTAAAACAAAATTATATGATTTATATTTTAATAATCGGCTTTATAATTGTCTAGTAATCTATAAATTCAGATTTCTATACTTAAGAAAAAATCATTTATCATGAATAAATTCTTAGGGGTAGGTATACGAAATGGCATTAGAGCTGAATTAAAATTGACGTACGCCTTTATAGTGTCCTGTAAGTATAGACTCCTGTGCTAGACATTCAATTGTCTTAGCTAAGCGACATAGAATTACACCATTGTCCAACATATCCAAAAGATTTATCGCATTCAACCAATCAATATCTAGGAAAAGAAACATTTATTTTAAATTAATTAATACAATATAATATTTCTTAGGAAATAAAATATATTATATAATATATAAATAACTAAGTATGTCAAAGTCTAAAGGTATGAAATATGATTTTTAGTTCAATGCCAATTATTTCATATAATCGAAGTACCTAATTAAAGTAAGCCAGTACAAAGATTCACAGATTTGTTCTATTTATTCAAAAAGTTGACTAATCGAGCTGTATCGGAATTTCATTATACTTATTATTATACTATTACTTACCTTAATATCAAGTTAGGTAAAATGCCTATTAATTAATTAAAATAATAAAAGGACGAATTAGAAAAATGGGCATAAATTAATTATAAATTAACATTAAACATGACCTAAAATACTCTTCTACGTCAATATATATATAAAACATTTTTGTATTCATAGGAGTATACTATGAAAACTTCTCTTTAAAATATTGATCTTGTGTAAAATAATATTTGAACTCTTAATAATCAAATTTAGAAGTTAGAATGTATATTAATGCAATCTAATTATTTTATGTTATCTTAAAAAATGTTAAATATATGTAATAACATTGGTGTTGGAATGAGTAAAAATATATTAATGCATCATCTTCAATTGTATAAAAACTATTTTTGAGCATCTTTCTATATTAATAAATATAAGGTCAATATTTAATAAAAACTAATTGTAATCGGTAACATGATAACGTAAACATTTTTATTTTTTCACATTACCATCCTTGTTCATATCTATTTTATATTCTTAGATATACTTATATAGACCTTAAAACTAAAAATACTTGTTATAATACTCAACAATAAGAAAACAAATTATGCTGTTAATGCTTATAAATTCATACATAATATAGGTAGATAATAGACATAAACAATTTATATCAGGTAGGTATTTAAATTATACATTAGTAGATAACAATTAATAGAACAAAAATAAATATAAAAGGTAAATGTAGGTTTTTATTATTAATTTATTATTTATTTATTAGTTCAACTGGAATATTAATCAATAACAATAATCAATGGCGCCGATCCCAATGTGTAGGTACTGCGGATACAAAACCTAATTTAAGTGGATGGTCCCGTGGTGAATAAGGGTACACTGTTACTAGAATATGTAAGTTATGGTAATTTGGATTTTAAATACAAAACTGTTTTAAAATTACAGTTATAACAGATACAATATACTCAGCATATATTATAGTTATACTCAGATTTGATTATTGGTTTTTATTAATACCATATTAAACATATATTGACGCCACTGACAATAATAATTAGTGTCAAATTTAGAAAAAAGTTAGGAAAAGTTAGAATCTTTATGGTTGTGTAGACTATATAAAAAAAAAAAATTAAAAAAATAATATTAACTATATAATAATATAGTTTTTAGATATTTTTCCTAGATCTATAGGCCACCACTGGCATGACTAGTTTCTAGTAACTAACATATAATTAATTAAAAACAACATTTGCTTTGTAAAAAATGGAACGTGATTTAATAAATGTGTAAAATCTTCGAATCATTTTTTATTATATTTTTATTTTAACCAAATAAAATAAAAATGAGCATAATTGAGTTATAATAATGCTAATGTATCAATAGATTTTATTTATAAATATTTAAATAATACAGTTTTGTATACTTTTATAACTTTATAAGTTTTGACGATATGAGGTCAATGTGTTAACAATTAACTAAAAGCGTTTATAGTCCAGTAATCAGAGCCACAATTACACTAATTTGGGCCCGTGTGTAAATAAAATGAATGTCCCTCCCCACGTTCAAAATCTGCAGAGAAACCGTACCTGTAATCAATTGTAACCAAACTATTTTGAATTTTGATTATACAGGCCGCAAAAGAAACGTTGATGTACGATAATGCATACAAAACAAAATTGATCGATTATTGTTCAATCTCCATTAATAATTATTGTTACAAAATGGTTTTATTTTCTTACTTTCTAGATATTTTTCAAATACTATCATAGACTGGGACAATGGATCCGTGTGTTTAACACACGTAACACACCCGTTTATTGCGGCACTGCCAGTAATATAAAGGACAGTAAATAAATATTTATGATATAATACATGCCACTGTCCACTGACAATAGTTAGTAGCGTAGTTGAGAGGAAAGAGCGATAGATAAATATGCATAATATGCAACCCCTCTCCTTAGAATTTTTTATTGGTGAATTTTAGTCAGGATTAGAGCCTATGATAAATAAAATAATATATTATTTACACCCGTTATATATTTAAAGTGCTCCCCCTACTCCTTAACTGAGTTCCAACTACGCAATTGAGAATAGTTAAGATTAGGCATTTTCATTTCTAACAGAAAATAAATCAATAACAGTTCTATAAAATTTAATCATTTTAAATAAAAATGTACTACCTACCTAAAACCAAAATATTCCACATTATTAAATATTAGACATTAGCACATGATAATTGTCATCAAACTCCTCTTGGAATTTTAGGCATACTTAAGCCTTTTTTTATAACTTATAAGATTAAGTAGTATAGAAAAAGGTTTCTTTTATTTATGACTTAGTTAATTAATATTATACATATATATTGAATATATTTCAAAATAAATTTTCATTGAAAACTATAATTGTGTTATTTTTGGGATAAAAATTTGTAATTTTATATTTTATAATATTAATATAAAGCCACGATAATTAGATACGATTCTCGTATCGATATTATTTTATAATTGTTTTCTATTTATTAACGTTAATTTCATGACTAAAGTTCAATTTCAACGCGTACCAACATATGCGATACGCTGGTCCGTAAAATAACTTTAATTTTTCAACAAATACAAAATTACGTTATATCTATTACATAATATACCTAAACACTCATAATAATTGTATTGCTTATTAATTTTTATTCTTTAAGTATATTTATAAATATGTACTCATTTTTTACACTAAGTACACAGTGATAATTATATCAGTTATATGAACATTGACGTATAACAATTATGTATTAAGCTCAAGAAAGTGTTTATCTCCTATTTTCCACTTGACCTTGAATGAGTAGCAACGGTGACGTCATTTCAGGGATGCTGTGACTGGGTTAATCAGAATAATATTGATTCCACCCTCTTTACTGGGCATCATTTTTTTGTTTAGACCCTCAAGGATGAACGTAACTACATAGTTTAAATTTTCAATAGGAATCATTCAATAAATAATTCAGGAACACAATATTCAAAAAACCGATAGGTACGTATAAATAAAATAAAACATATTTTATTTTGTTCCACAAAAAATAAATAGATGTGATAACGACAGATGTCATGTTTTCTATTGTCATGGTTGTAATTTTTCCATTTTTTTTATTTTTTTATATTATACCTACCTATATTTTTTTATGCGTGACATTTCAAAATCTACCAACATAGTTTATTACTCTTCTTGTAACTGTAAGAATATAGAACAATATTATGCATGTATACAACATACATTTCTAAGGTCTAAATACAAAGTATATGACCTTTTAGGCTGGAATACCAGAATCGATTTTATTCAGAATAGAAAACAGAAGGTGACTACAAATTATATAGGCCAATGAACCCCTAGTCATGAACACTTAATTAGTTACAGTGGCCAAACATACATCTAATATATATTTATGTATATGGGTTTGTAAGTTACCAAAAATACAAATAATACAATGCAATCTCAGAAAACTCACAATTATTAACTAAAATATAATATATATTTATATATTTGAATATTTATTCTTATACATAGGTATATGTATGTAATATACTTTACAAACTATTTACAATACAATAATAATACTCATTTTAAGTATTCAAGTTTTCAAGTTCATAATTAGTACCTAAGTACAAGTACCTCGTAAAAGATACACATCATATTAATATTATATCATAAATGCATAATAAAAACTGACCGATTATTTTTGTAATTCATTTAATGTAGATTATCTGATCAAAATAAATAAATTTTAACTACCTTTAATAAGTATTTAGTAAATAAAATGTTAAAAAATTTTAAATACATGCAATAATATATATTAAATAAATATTAATTCATTATTCAATGAAAAGTTGAAAGAATAATAACGAAAAGCTTATGAGAAAATTTAAAAAAAAAATTGATGTATCCATACTATCTAAGGATATAAATTTAGATATCTTTAAAATTTAAATTATTATTTAATACTTATTAGTTACCTATTAGTTTCTACACAAACTATTTGCTTTAAATAATTTACTTACATGAAAACATAAAAAGCTATATGAGATTTGTTTCGTGTCAAACAACAATTTTAATAAAAGTTAATTTAAAGCAATTTAAACAACAAACAGTATTTCATATTATGCATTATTATATGTAGTTAATATAATATTTTTACAACAAATATGTATATTCTAGTATGATGATACTTAATATAGCAATGTAGCGTGACATATGGCTTCGAAAAATACTAAGAATTGATATATTTATGGGTTCCGTGTTCGTACCCTGTATCCAAATTACAAAAATACAAAAGGCCTATAATATTTCATGTTTCCCGTTCATTGAAGAATCCCTTTTGCGTGATTACCAAATCAAGAAACTGATTGTGACTAAATATTATAATTTAATTCAGTACGATTTTGTGTCTAAGGAAAAATTACGTATACAAAACTTGTAATAATTTCCAAAGTTAAATAATAGATACTAACACGATAAGATCAATCAATGTACATTTCATTGGTTGTTTGCAAAAAGTGAAGTTACCATTTAGTCATTAATAGACAATTAACAAACAGGAATTCTAAGTTATTTTAATATATGTTTTTATTTATGAAAATTATTTCAACAAAGTAGTTCGATATACTTACCTAACATTTTAATGAATCTAATCTATAGTCATACCTATTTATTTTAACTTAATGTACTATAATGTTTACATTACATTCTAACAACCACTAGGTGCGTGATAAATTATCAGCAAACAATAATATATTATAAAGAAAATTATGTTTAGGAATATTTACCTAAAGATTTGTTGATCCAATCCGCCAAATCTTCTTTTAATGGTAGGAGTTGACGATTTTGACTGTCTATTATTTTGCCTTGATATTGTTCCAAATATTCTTGATCGGTATCAGCAGAAGGGATCCTGTGATCAATGAGTTTACCCTTCTGCTTCGCGTCCATTTTTGTATATGATGAACGCGAAAGAATCTTTGATCATAAATGTTCTTGGTGTATGGATGTACTGTTTAAAATAAATTAGTTTAAATAATTATGTAAATTAAAAGTTTAACGAAAATCATACAAAAAATTATTATGACGATTGTCAATATTAATAGTTTATAAGGTATAAACTACATCATTTTTTTTTTATATGATATGTATATAATACAAATACAATTGAAGATTTCCGATGTGTTTTATTTTGTTTAATTTTGAGCAATTAACTATATATATATAACTATAACTAATAATATAACTAATATTTATTTATATATATTAATATTTATGTTGCATGAGCTATCAAAAATATCAATAGTAATATAAGTTATTTATCTTATATGAGAAATAAACTTATCGCATTAAATAATAAGTACTAGGACATTTTAGACCTTTCATTCTTATTTCTATAATATATAACGTGTAAAATCGCTCATTTATTAAACGGGTTTTTATGATTTGTACAAATTACAATAGATAAATTACTTTTCTACATAATTTTTCAAAACATCATTATGTATACTAAATATTACCTCCTATAAATGTAACAATGTATTAACATCTTACTTGTTTAATTTTTAATTAATTATTTTATTTTCATTACCTGTCAAAACTACAGAACTTGTAATCATAAAACATATTATGCTTACCACGATTATCATTACAATTTTTAAAGTAGAATAATAAACGCCATATTTCCATATGGTCGTCCCTAGAAATATCATATTGCCTTAAACTATACAATAATAATCAGCCAATCTGATATTTCCTTTTTGTTAAACTTCATAATTTTAATTCATATATGCGGGCTCTGTTTAGTGAACGTTTGACCCAGTTTTCATGGGTTGTTAACAATTTGGTGAAAATTAAAAAGCGAAAATTGTTTAAATGATCCACTAAACCAAACAGCATTTTAATCTGACGTTAATAAGATTAATTTTAAAATTTAATTAACTCTTTAATAGGTAAGTTTATTGTACAGAATATAGGTATGCTACTTTATTATGTACACAGATTTCAATAGCATTTGTATAATATTTGTTATTTGTCTCATGATCATTATTTATTGGCTTAGCTATTTTTAACTCGGAATAAACATTCATTGAACATTTTACAAGAAATTAAAATTAATTATTTTAATGTAAGAACAATATATTATATTAGATTAAAAATAAAAATATTTTAATTTCTTAAAACTTTATATTCGAAAAATAAGATGTAATAACTAAAGCATTAAAATGAGTCAACAAAAATAAGAAATTATTAACAAATATTTGGAACTATTACAAGTAGGTATTATATTCTGTAATAAACATCAAATGTTTAGACATTATTTTTAAATTAAACTAGAAGCATAAGGATTTAAGGTATGTTGTTTTAGAACAGGAAAAAGTAAAAGGCAGTAATCTATTGGTATAGCTCCGAAAGAAATAAGATAGAATAACAAAATCAATCTAGGAATTGGATTGGGATCAATCTAATCATTGAACCAAATCATTGAGTACTGGGTTAGTGTAACGTTTTGATGAACTAAACAAATCTATATTTTGAAAATTTTAAGATAGTAAATAAACAAAAGAATAGGTACTTAAATAATGAACTCTATGACAGTTGATTAGACGATAATAAAGAAACCCGATTATTGAATCACAACAAATTAAAGTTAATAAAATTTTTTATTATTAATATAAATAAGTAAATAACAATGTCATTGAACTTTTTGTACATGAATTATGAATTACTTACTTACAATAAAATTATACCTAACCCAGAGTTAATGATTTTAATAGATTATACAATTACATTTACAATTAAATGATTACAAAATTGGTTAAAAATTGCTTCGATAAAAATGTTTTGAAAATAAAATCTTATAATTTGTTCAATATTATTCAATTTATACATAATATTTACAATTTTATTTTAAAAATGAAAACATATTTTTAAGTATGATATTAGTTAAATCTTTAATACATTCTTAATTTCTTTTAGACAATTGAAACACATTTTTTGAATACATTCAGTAATAACATATTATTATTTATTAAATTTTACGTACTTTGTATAATAATAAGAATACAAGTACAGATATGTGGTAAACTGATGACTAATATCTTCCATTGAGATTTATATATCTCCTTATAATATACCACCAAGTACCTAACTTGAATACTCATTTCAATGTAAATAGGTAATTATTTGCATGTTTTATATAAATAACGTTTAAATATTAAAAATTGTTATAAATAATACGATTTTGTTAACTCGAAATAAAATTATCCGAAATGTCATATGGATCTAATTACAAATCACATAATTATGATTTACAAAGTTTATACATTTTTTATGGATGAAATGGAGAATAAATAAAAAATAAGCAAATTAATTTGAAATTCGAATCACCACACATTATTAAATTGTCATTTAATATATTATTCAGTAAACAACAGATTTACTATTTATAATTAAAATATCTGAAAAAAAACATCTAAATTGATCGACGCAATATTATCGTTATGGTTTTCGTTTTTTCCTAATCAACAAATTAAGTTGACCGTTGTGCAATGGCAATTCAATAGCTAGATATGTATGTATATATCATTGCAAATAACACTTAGAAAGTGTCTTATAATCAATTTGTTTCGGCTGAATCTGTTTTCTATCAATAAAACTCGAATTGTGTAGATAGATACTGGTAAGAAAAACGCTTCGATTGCTTAGTAGGTATATTTCTCACTGTACGGTCTATCTGGCACAAGATTGTGTCAGTAAGACACCCGAAAAATCCTATCAAACGCTCGGTTTCCATCAGGTAAATAATTCGACCTAAATGTTAACGACAAAATATTAAAAGTACTATTTAAATCAGATTCTTATATTTTTTGATTAATCATGTATTCTAAAAAAAACAAACTCTGATAAAATGAATATAAAAATAAAATTATTATTATAAACTCATACTATAACAATACATGACTTTTCTTTTGAAACTTAAATAAGTGACAATCATACAAGTCAAATCCATTAATCCAAAACAGTATGTTGATTTAGTTCTACATAAGTATAAAGAGATTATATATTTATAATTTTTATTTAAATCATTTTAAGTCGTTTATGAAAGGATCAAAAAATATACAAGTTTACAATATTTTGTTTTTTAGTATAATTTTTCATTATTTATTTATATTTATGCATTATGATTTTTAAGATATTTATTAGTTTGATATCATATTATCAATTAATCGGAAATATTGACTAGTTGACTCTTAAGATCAAAAGTTTTTTATGTATTTCCAAAAACTTACTTAACAAAAATAATCATATTTTTTTTCGTTGATCAACACCTTCAACTTTAAGGACACTCACCTCAACCTACAATTCTTGTACCTTGTTTATATATATATACTCGTTAATTAAAAAAAACATTAATCATTCTACGACAATAATCTGCACTAATTTTTTTTTTATTATTCAATTTCCTACACACGTGAATGTGTCGTTCCACAAAAATGTAACCATCACGTTTTTTATATAAGTATCCATAGTTTATCATATTATATAATTGGAAACATATTTTTCAGACTTTTTTATACTCAACATAATAGTAAATATATAGTCTCATTTTAAGCATGACGAAACAATTGCTGTTCCGGACATCTTTACATTGTTAAACTTCACATGAAAGGGGATTGAATCCATGTACAATAATATTCATTGTAACCCAATAGATCATAATAAAATTACAAACACGAGTACAGTTATATCTTTCCAGCATCATTTTCTAAGTATGAATGACAACCATTAAGTACAATTTTTAGTGATGTAAATTTTTTTTATTTAATGTTTTAACATTTACCAAAAATAAGTAACTCTAAGAAATGCATGTATGTATTGACATAATAGAAGAAATTCTACTCACTCCACAAACTGTACATCAAAAAATATACACGATTCTATTCTTGTTTGCAATAAAATTAAAATACACTAAACACATTATTTTTCTGTTTTTTCTTTAAAATAGAGAAAACTTTTGATTGTATCAAATGAATTATTAGTTAAGAACACATAAAGGATCATTTAATTAAATTATTTAATTTATTTAAAACAATAAACCTTCTGTTTTAGATCTAATAAGTTTCTTACTAACATGATAATTATTAAGGTATTAGTTATTAACATGCATATTGTATAGTATAAAGTAAAATAATAAATTATAAAATATAATTTAAAATATAAATCATAAATAGATTATTTTGTTTTAAACACTAATTTGTTAAACATATACAATACATATTAAAGATTTAAAATTATTATTTAGATTAAAAAAATAACTAAGATTATACATTATTAAAAATTAAAATTAATGTAATGCATTTTACTCACTTTATGGATATTGAACTCTTTAAATTGGACATTTTTGTATTTATTGTGAACGATGATTGAAAAATCGTACCTGACATAATATTATTATACGAAAGACTGGAAGAACGAAATCTCACGAGCGCGCGGCAATGAAAACTATTATATTGTTTTTGGCGGCTCGGGATATTAGGAAAACTCAGGAGAAATGGAGCTCAGTGCTGCCTCGTAGTATAATTTACAATATGTTACATTGAATGCAACAGTACGTTATTTTTTAATAAAAAAAAATATACCATGCTTAAAGGTTTCAACTATAATTTTGCAAGAAGCCTTGAAAATGAATCAAACATACCTACCTAACTGAATAGACTTATTCGTGTTTTCATTTATCATATTATGTTGTATATTATTTATATATTATAAATATATTTATCATTACGTATTTCATGCGACATTGAAAAAAAATAAACAAATAAACATAAAAAATTTCGTTATGGCTATTTTTTTTTTAAATTATAATTGAAAATGTTACATTTTAATGAAACATAGTACCAATTCATATATATATTTGAAAAAAAAAAACATTTTTATTAGAGTATATTATAGAAGTACTTAAATACATTATACAAATTGAGTTTTACTTATAATTATAATTAACTATTCATTATTTTAATATCATAGGCTTGGAATAATAATGTTAGATATATATTTTTATTTTTATTAGAAAATTTTTGATTTAAGATCAAATAAATTTAAATATAATAAATAAAATACTGCATTTATATTTTCTACCGATAATTATGATTTTATATTAATAATAAAATGGATAAATAAATAATAAAGAATGTTTCAAAGCATATTTTTACATAAAAAATACGTGGCACTTGTGCCCCCCTAGTGATAACTGAATGTTACCCAGTGGTGGATGATAGTGCTCCTGACTAACATGCAAGGGCGTATTTAGACTTACTTCTGGGGGGGGGGGGGTGACTCAAATTTTTTCAGGCTCAAAATTTACAAGTCAAGTTTTGTTAATATTTAAATCGGGTGAATCCTTAATATTTGTGGCTTTTTTTTTAATCTAATATCAGATTCACTTAGAACCGACTTTTATGTAGTTCTTTTTTAACATTTGTCTATATTTTGAAAGTTACACTTGTGTTTTAATTGATTTTTCACTAAGTATGAACCCGAAAAAAAGCACCCTGCTCATTATTATATTATGCCTTAAAAAAAGATTTCCTAACGAAATTACAATATAAATATCAATATGTAATATTGATTTTTCAGTAAAACTACACATTAAAATTGTTAATATAATAAAAATATGGCTAAATATAAATGTTAAGACTAAAATTTTATATAATGTTATCTGAGCATTATTTGCGCTACGAATGCCAAATTATATATAAACAGATTATGTATTAGACTTGCTTTAACTTCTAATAAATTAAACAATCATAGTATAGGTAATTAATAGATTACTATATCAATGTATAAATATGTAATAAAATATTGTAATAAATAAAGTGAACATAATTTATTTTAAAATGTAAAATCAAGGTATACTAATTGATTTAACTATAAGTAGTTGTATTTACAGTTTTGATAATTAGAGACTGATCACCATGCTTTTTATTAAAAGTAATGTAATTAACTAATTTTTATTTCCTATCATAATTATAATATTTATAGTAATCTGTACTTAGGATATTTGAAATTTGATTGTTTTATATTAAATAATTAGACTACACTTGTCTCTGTTACTTGTAATTATTTAATTTATAAATTAATATATCAAAATATAATAAAAAATACTCTCATTTTATACTTTTAAGTTATAATCCAAATTTTGTTTTAAAAAAGTAGGCCAATTCAAATTTTAATCATTTAATTATTTGATAACTTTATCTTTGTTATCTGTATTTACCGAAATAGAAGTAGCAAAATGATCAGTAATACGCACATGTTTTACATAGGATTTAAAATTAGCAGTTTTAATATTTATAACAAAAATATGGTCAATACATGATTTACTTTTTTGAACACGAGTATAGTCATTAATACAAGATTTAAATTTGTGGTCATTCATAACTTTTAGATACCAAGACGAAGCAGGAAAATCTTTATTAATATCAATATTTATATCACCCCCGATTATGTGAATAGTTTTGTTTCCACATTTTTTTTTTTGTTCAAATAAGTTTCTAATCCATCAATAAAATCTGAGTTATGTATTCTAGGTCTTTTATAAATACCAGTACAACAAAAATGCGTACTGTTAATTATGAAATTAATTTCAATAGAATTGCTATCATTTATACATAGTTTATCAGTACTAATCACATTATAATTATTTTTAAGGAAGACAGTAACACCGTCAGACCTTCTTACAGACAATGAGTTAAAACATTTATAACCGTCCAACATAATATGGTACATAATTTGGTTCTTCTTTTAACCACGTCTCCACTAGAACTATTACATCATATTTAACTTTTTCTTTGTTCAAACACTCTTTTAACTTATCGAAATTCTTTAAGATACTATGTATGTTTAAGAAAAGGAATGATGCATCACCTGCATTTATAATTGAATGCTTAAAACTATTGACATTCTCAAAATCAACATCATTAAAATTAAGAAAACTATTTGATGATAAACTTAAAAATTTGTCACTTTTCGTTACCCCTTCGTTTTGCTTTGATTTTGTAAATATCTCATCAGAATCAGATACTTCTGATTCTATGTCAGAATAAGAATCATTTTGTATCGCCTGTTTTCTTTTAATTTTTTCTTCAAATATCACATAATCTAAATTACATTTTTCTATGTCATAATTTTCTAAAATATGATTTATTACGATTTCAACTAAATCAGCTTTCTTTAACTTTGAACATCCACTGATATTATTAATTTTACAATACTCATACAACTCTGATTTA